TTTATCATTTATTTGGAATTACGCAGGGGTCAATTTTTAAAAAAAAAAATTTCGTATTTTAAGAATTCTTTTTAATATATAGTGAATAAGTAAAGATATCATAAACTCTTTGACATCGAGAACATTTTATACAATTTAAAAAAATAAGACCAAAATGGACTTTACACTCACAGTGGGTGGTATGACTTATTTTAATGTTTAATCTTTTTTAATTTATTGTTTCAGTCTAACGATTTAAATTTGTCTATATTGGTTTTAATTATATCATCGACTATTTCTAAATTCGTTGAGTAACGTAACAACATAACATATTTTAATTAATTTGAGACTTCAGCAGTGGTCTACAGGATGGGCCAATAAACATTGGAACATTTTTCTATTTATTCAATTGTCTTTATTTTTGTAATTCCATCCACAAAAATTCAGATAATGGTATAATGGTTATTTGTGAAAATGTTAAAGGCAACAGGTAAATCCATTCTGTGAAAAAAAATGCTAGAAACAAAAAATAGAGACGCACCTACAGTACTATGATTTCGCCAATTAGTGAACTTTTCACCAGATGAAAAGGGGAAAAGCTAAAAATGGTGTAAACCTCACCAAAAGCTGTCAAACATTTTAAACGCAAAATATTCAAAATTTGTGAAAATGACATGTTCCCCCTTCCACTTGTATGTAACCCCTTCCTTTTCACTAAAGTAGTAAATTGTGTAATTAAACAGTTCTTTAATTCAACTATGTAGATGAAACAATGGATTTGCTTATATAAAAAGCCAAAATAAAAGTGAAATGTGAGTACTACTACTACTTAAGTTGTTTGGGAATCGAACCCAGCCAAAGGAATGATAAGTTCCATGGTGTAAGCCTGCACAACTTGCAGGATATTTGTATTATCACATCACATTATTTTTGACTTTTTCCAAAAATGGCATCTGCTTTCACAACGACATTGGACTTTCAATCACAGGGGTTAAATGAAAAATCGGGACATTTCGAATTTAACAAACTAGATGTAGGCGTCATTCCTCAATTTATTACAGAAAATTGGAAGGAACTCTTAATCGAGATTTAAAAACTGCATGGTGCGATTGACCAAAAGGGTGTTAAATCGACTCAGGAAATGCCAAAATCTGCACATAATTGTAAGAGATGGAGAATATATACGAAATTTAATAGAAGCCTTGGAAACTGCTGAGAATGTTATAATTGCAGACAAATCTCTTTAACAACTACTAATTACATCACAATCACAAGAACTTAGCCATTGGAACATTTTTTTGTAGATGTGGAGAAAATAATTTTAGACCATGATAATGAATAGAATGTTGAATAAATTGCATAAGTTCCCATGTATGATTTGCAATATCGTTAACTTCAAACAGCATTTACTCAAATACTCAGAATGGGTATAAGAAGTCATTTATACTGGAGGAATTGTTTTGCATAATATATATTACCGATTGATTACAACGATGCTTTCCAACACCACGAGTCAAGGCCATATGGCTCTTTAATCCATTCAGCGACATGTTATTTTTGCCACAGAAGGAACATAGGTGCAGTCTGAATTTAAAAGTTTTTTCTACAAATATATTGAATCATTTCAAACAATTTGCTTATACATAATTGACGTATTAAAGATTTTAATACATTTTGGATACGAGAAGTAAGTGTAGGTTTACTTCACGTATGCATTAGCAGATGGTTACGTTAATATTTCTGTCGAGGGGGTCGATGCTACGTAGCAATCATTGCATTTTAGACATGATGGATCTTGTTGTTTATTTGCGTATGGTATACGATTATATATGTATTTGTGAAAATAACACTAGCTGAAACACTTGAGAATTATTTAACTTTGAAACATAAGTGTAACATCATTAGGTTTTCAAACAAAACTCACCCCTTCTCCCCATCCTGATGGTGTTGGAAATGTGGATTTCCCACTCAATGAGGATATTCCTCAGGCATGTAGTTCATAGAGGATTTGAGCGCTCCATTTGTCGCAACTTAATTGAAGCATCTTGTTTTTGATCAAATACAGATCATTCATGGTTGAGAAAACTATCAATGAATAAAAACAAAGGATTTAATAAAACTCCATTTAGTTACATGTGCCGTGAGTTTTGTGTTACTAGGCATGATGTTTGAGATACGTTAAACACCAGTGGTATGTACATGAAACCTTGACCGTGTAAGGGAATAAGATGGGGGCACATACCTACCAACGTTGAACAAGATTGGTTCATTATTTTCATAATTAGATATATTTGTACAAAACCTTTTGAACAACCCTTGTAAATTAGACAAAAACTTGTTAATAAGAGTACCAAAGTCTGTCACAATGTAGTTCGCGAGTGTCAAAATGGTTCGACTTTTCACATGAATCGTGTATTGTCCAGTTTTGATACAAAATAATTTCCATAGACGTCTTTGCATATGTTTGGCAATATTTATCAGTACCCGAAGGGTTCCCCAGTTCATTTTATTATTCTACAGTGCGTATAAAAAAACGCAACAGATTCTTATCTTGGAAAAGCACAAAACCAGTGATAACAGCATTGATTTCATTCAATGCACCTTAAAGCCATGTGTCTCTTTACAATGATATATCATTCATTGATATTTGGTTATGGTTGGGCGAGTAATAATTCAATGTACCAAAAAGCCAAATTACTCCTCTTTGTAATGGAATATCATTCATTCATAGGGAGTCATCTCTGGCCGGATAATCATTAATTTTGCAAAGTGGGGCAAAATTCAGCTTGGACCCAAGTTTAAAACATTGCGAAAGTCAGTACAAGGGGCATATGGTCTATTGGAAGAAGGTGTGACAGGTGTGGTATAGACAGTAAAGTGTTCATACTCATACTCTTGCAAGAATACATCCTATACCCCTCCAAATTGCCACCACTTCCTTGCACATAAAGATGCGCTCATCTGTCCACGTCATGCATGGTTCAGCCCTGAGTCATTTGTGGGTTAAAGCAGAGAAAAGCAGCCCATGGGCAAATCATTCTCGATGTTTTGCAATATCTGGTGGAGGAATTGTGAGCACAGATGCTCCTGAGATAGCTCCAAAAGAAAAAGTCACAACAATTCAAGTCAGAGGAACTTCCATTGGCACTTAGCCCTTGCACTGATTTTCTCAATATCTAAAACTTGGTGCAGAGCCGATTTTGACCCGCTGTGCAAATGGAAGGATTTCTCACCCAACCATTACAACATGTGAATGAATGACATATCATTGCTAAGAGGAGAGACATGGCTTTATGGTACATTAAATGAAATTGATGTAGTCATCTCTAGTTTTGAGATTTTACGAGATAACTACTTGTTGCGTTTTTTTTGATACGCCCTGTATAGCTAGCCAATGTAGTCTTATGGAAGGAACTGAATGTTAGAGAGCAGCCTATAAATGAGTGTACCATTTCTTTTTATTATTCTATAGCTAACCAATGTAGTCTTATAGAAGGAACTGAATGTTAGAGGGCGGCCTATAAATGAGTGTACCATTTCTTTTTATTATTCTATAGCTAACCAATGTAGTCTTATAGAAGGAACTGAATGTTAGAGGGCGGCCTATAAATGAGTGTACCATTTCTTTTTATTATTCTATAGCTAGCCAATGTAGTCTTATGGAAGAAACTGAATGTTAGAGGGCGGCCTATAAATGAGTGTACCATTTCTTTTTATTATTCTATAGCTAGCCAATGTAGTCTTATGGAAGGAACTGAATGTTAGAGGGCGGCCTATAAATGAGTGTACCATTTCTGTTGAGTATTCTATAGCTTACCAAAATAGTCTTTTGGCCAGAACTGAATGTTCGAGGTGGACTTTACATCAAAAATGGTGGGGACTTTTACTTTACATATTTAACTATAACTTACTTTGTTATTGTACATACAATTAATTGGACTGTATTTCTTACAATAGCCCCCAGACCAGACATGCAAACTAAAACCACGTGGGTCTCTGGTAAAAAGCGGTAGACTATAAATGATTGGATGGTAACAGTGGTTTCAAAATTGTGATCTGATAAAAAATAATTATATACTAGGAATATTTCTGAAGACATATATTTATTTAAAATTCGTTTAAAAACTAGGACCACAACCTGACTGGACTATTTATTTGTTCACTCCCAACATATCTATTGCCTGTCAGTAGATATGGTCCGGCTATTCGTTTCTGAAATATAGAAGATATATTGTCTAGTCCGGACATCAGTTCCTATTATGTATGGTATTGTCCGTATTTCATCAGAAGATATATTGTCTAGTTAAGAGTCTGGACATCAGTTCCTATTATGTATGGTCTTGTCCGTATTTCATCAGAAGATATATTGTCTAGTTAAGAGTCCGGACATCAGTTCCTATTATGTATGGTCTTGTCCGTATTTTATCAGAAGATATATTGTCTAGTTAAGAGTCTGGACATCAGTTTCTAGTATGTATGGTCTTGTCCGTATTTCATCAGAAGATAAATTGTCTTGTTAAGAGTCCGGACATCAGTTCCTATTATGTATGGTCTTGTCCGTATTTCATCATGAGAAGATATATTGTCTAGTTAAGAGTCCGGACATCAGTTCCTATTATGTATGGTCTTGTCCGTATTTCATCAGAAGATATATTGTCTAGTTAAGAGTCCGGACATCAGTTCCTATTATGTATGGTCTTGTCCGTATTTCATCAGAAGATATATTGTCTAGTTAAGAGTCTGGAAATCAGTTCCTATTATGTATGGTCTTCTCCGTATTTCATCAGAAGATATATTGTCTAGTTAAGAGTCCGGGCATCAGTTCCTATTATGTATGGTATTGTCCGTATTTCATCAGAAGATATATTGTCTAGTTAAGAGTCCGGACATCAGTTCCTATTATGTATGGTCTTGTCCGTATTTCATCAGAAGATATATTGTCTAGTTAAGAGTCCGGACATCAGTTCCTATTATGTATGGTCTTGTCCGTATTTCATCAGAAGATATATTGTCTAGTTAAGAGTCCGGACATCAGTTCCTATTATGTATGGTCTTGTCCGTATTTCATCTTCTCAGACTAAGTTGGTAAACTTTTAATGAAATGAATTCTTGTAGACTATGACAAAATTTTAAATCATTTAAAACAGAATGCATATAATGTTTATATTAATATTAAATCATTAAAATACAAGGAACCTTTGTTATGTTTTACGTCTTACATAATCTCGAGTCTAGTAGTTTTAAAAGTGGCTTCTCTGGATTATAGTTCCGTGGTGCCACGATATTTCTTTTAAATATTGTTTTCATCTGATTCATGTTTTTCGAAGTTAAGAACTTTCAACTTTTATGGTCGTCATGGATATTTTTGCGGTAATCATTTGAAATATCTTTCCTTCTTGCCCAATATATGGATCTACATTTTACTGTCAATTCACTGCACCAAATATTTGATTCTAGTCTCATACACTAACGAAGATGTCCTCTTACATATACGATATATTGTTCCCTGTCATGGACAACTTTCATATGTGATATTTATTTTGTTTTATATCTGGTTACAGTAGGCACTATTTTTCTTATCAGATACCATGAGTAAATAAGGTCTCCGCTAGATGGATCATGACATCAAATATCTCAGATATTTACTCGCCAACGGAGAAGTTTAATTCCCCTTCCATAGTCTCTTCGACGAAGTCATTGATGACATTCTTTTCTTATATATAGTATGTTGGCTTCTAGATTACGCTATGTTGGACTACTACATCGACCATGACGCCGTCCGTTTTCTGAGCCTCCTTTTAGCCCGCAAGAGACTTCGTTGTTCCTCAAGCTGCCGTTTCATCATTGCCTTTTTGATACACATAGTCGAGAGGAACATTAACCCTCCAAGCACCATAACTCCTCCGACGACGTAGAAAGGCGTGTCGAATGTTCCAGTTAGATCAATTAACCATCCTGAAATACAAAACGACAATTTAAGTTTTGATTTCTGTTAATGGAGACTTTAAGGTGGCGATATTTTTCAAAACGTAACCGCGAATGCAAAGTCCATGGATCAATACACTTTATGTATATCATCTTTCTATGCATCCCACCGGTCAGGAATTATAGACATTTTGACAATATTAGATCGTAATGTATTGCGGTAAATTCAAATTGTATCTTTTAACTAGTGTTTTAACTTAAAGGTGCGTTTTATTGCATTGAAAACAAACTTTATACATAACTTCACATCTTTCACTTGTAAAACAGCATAAAATCTGACATCACCCTGTGCTATAATGATACGACTTCAAAATAATTGTACCAATATTGTTTGGTTTTTAAGCGTCGTGGGTCCTCTTCACCAGCGCAATTCGATATTTTTACGATCACTACGTATAGGGTGATATATTGTAAAGGAAAAATACAAAGCAAGTGATCTGCATACTAAAAGGATTTCGTATTTGAAACCTTAACTACATGTGGAAATGCTTACCTGAGAATGGAGATGCTATAAGAAATGCTTACCTGAGAATAGAGATGCTATAAGGAATGCTTACCTGAAAATAGAGATGCTATAAGAAATGCTAACATGAGCATGGAGATGCTATAAGGAATGCTTACCTGAGAATAGAGATGCTATAAGAAATGCTTACCTGAGAATGGAGATGCTATGAGGAATACTAACCTGAGAATGGCGATGCTATAAGAAATGCTAACATGAGCATGGAGATGCTATAAGAAATGCTTACCTGAGAATAGAGATGCTATAAGAAATGCTAACCTGAGAATGGCGTACTATAAGGAATGCTTACCTGAGAATGGAGATGCTATAAGGAATGCTTACCTGAGAATGGAGATGCTATAAGAAATACTTACCAGAGAATGGAGATGCTATAAGGAATGCTTACCTGAGAATGGAGATGCTATAAGAAATACTAACATGAGCATGGAGATGCTATAAGGAATGCTTACCTGAGAATAGAGATGCTATAAGAAATGCTAACATGAGCATGGAGATGCTATAAGGAATGCTCACCTGAGAATAGAGATGCTATAAGGAATGCTTACCTGAGAATAGAGATGCTATAAGAAATACTTACCTGAGAATGGAGATGCTATAAGGAATGCTTACCTGAGAATAGAGATGCTATAAGGAATGCTTACCTGAAAATAGAGATGCTATAAGAAATGCTAACATAAGCATGGAGATGCTATAAGGAATGCTTACCTGAGAATGGAGATGCTATAAGGAATGCTTACCTGCAAATAGAGATGCTATAAGAAATGCTAACATGAGCATGGAGATGCTATAAGGAATGCTCACCTGAGAATAGAGATGCTATAAGAAACGCTAACATGAGCATTGAGATGCTATAAGGAATGCTTACCTGAGAATAGAGATGCTATAAAGAAATGCTCACCTGAGAATAGAGATGCTATAAGGAATGCTTACCTGAGAATAGAGATGCTATAAGGAATGCTTACCTAAGAATGGAGATGCTATAAAAAAATACTTACCTGAGAATGGAGATGCTATAGGGAATACTTACCTGAGAATGGAGATGTTATAAGGAATGCTTACCTGAAAATGGAGATGCTATAAGAAACGCTAACATGAGCATGGAGATGCTATAAGAAATACTTACCTGAGAATAGAGATGCTATAAGAAATGCTAACATGAGCATGGAGATGCTTTAAGGAATGCTCACCTGAGAATAGAGATGCTATAAGGAATGCTTACCTGAGAATAGAGATGCTATAAGGAATGCTTACCTGAGAATAGAGATGCTATAAGGAATGCTTACCTGAGAATGGAGATGCTATAAGAAATGCTAACATGAGCATGGAGATGCTATAAGGAATGCTTACCTGAGAATGGAGATGCTATAAAAAAATACTTACCTGAGCATGGAGATGCTATAAGGAATACCTACCTGAGAATGGAGATGTTATAAGGAATACTTACCTGAGAATGGAGATGTTATAAGGAATGCTTACCTGAAAATAGAGATGCTATAAGAAAGTCTAAAGTCGATAATGTTTCTGTTTCAAAGTTAAACAATGTTGAAATTACCAGAGATCACGAGCACAAACATCTGGGATTTACTTTTGACCCAAGCTTATCATATGACAAGCATATTGGAGAAATCATATCAAAAAAACGAAAAATGTTGAACCCTTTAAAGAAACTTAAATATAAGTTAGGTAGTAAGCATCTAGAAACCATATTTAAGTCCTTTATTTTTTAAGGAATGCTTACCTGAGAATAGAGATGCTATAAGAAATACTTACCTGAGAATGGAGATGCTAAAAAAAAATACTTACCTGAGCATGGAGATGCTATAAGGAATACCTACCTGAGAATGGAGATGTTATAAGGAATACTTACCTGAGAATGGAGATGTTATAAGGAATGCTTACCTGAAAATAGAGATGCTATAAGAAACGCTAACATGAGCATGGAGATGCTATAAGAAATACTTACCTGAGAATAGAGATGCTATAAGAAATGCTAACATGAGCATGGAGATGCTATAAGGAATGCTTACCTGAGAATAGAGATGCTATAAGAAATGCTAACATGAGCATTGAGATGCTATAAGGAATGCTTACCTGAGAATAGAGATGCTATAAGAAATACTTACCTGAGAATAGAGATGCTATAAGAAATACTCACCTGAGAATAGAGATGCTATAAGAAATGCTAACATGAGCATGGAGATGCTATAAGGAATGCTTACCTGAGAATAGAGATGCTATAAGAAATACTTACCTGAGAATAGAGATGCTATGAGAAATACTCACCTGAGAATAGAGATGCTATAAGAAATGCTAACATGAGCATGGAGATGCTATAAGGAATGCTTACCTGAGAATAGAGATGCTATAAGAAATGCTAACATGAGAATAGAGATGCTATAAGAAATGCTAACATGAGCATGGAGATGCTATAAGGAATGCTTACCTGAGAATGGAGATGCTATGAGGAATGCGATAGAAGATACTCCCATCACGAGTCCCAGTGATTTATCTACAACGTCGACACCAAGTAGGTCAACCAGTATAACAACAAACAGGGAAAAGTAGCAACCTAAAAGTAAAATAAACAACAACAAAAAAAAAGTAACAACATCGAATTAGTAGCAGCAGGTCAAAATTAAAAATAACGACCAAAAATAAAAAGAAAAGACTAAAAGTTTATAGCAGGAGCCTAAAAGTAGAAATTTAAAACTAGAACTCAAGAATCGTAACCTAGACTCCCGGGCCTAAACTTTCCACCCCTTCCATAAAGGATGAGTCTAGGAATATACCATTTTTGTCCCTCGCTTATATGTATTCGAAATATAGATTATATTACTGTCTAAGATGTATCTGATTATAATATACAACTTTTAGTGAGTATTGATGTTTAATTAACCTCATGCTGTGAATCAAATAAGGTAATCTCATTATGTTAAAAAATTAGTGTACTAGATAAGTTGTTAAAAAAGAGTAGGTGTGAATGTCTCTAGCATGATATATATGATTTTCAGGATGGCTCCTCTTTTCCAAGCACATCCCATAAACCAGATAACGGATGCTACATAGGTACAGCAGACAAAAACTGTGGCACCCTGGGCATATGTACGAGTACAGTACCAGCCAGTGATGGCTCCAAATGGTTTGGTCACTGCCATGCTCCACCCAGAAACAATATTTCATAGTTCCATTTTATATATATGATTATACATGCACACGGACAAGACTCTAGGGACATTGATGGGCCTAAAGATGGTACTTGATGTAAATACGCATCGGTGTAACGTTCAGTTTGCTTGAAATTGTATGAAATTGTATTGAAATTGTACCAAGTGTGAGACTTTTTTTTTTTTTTTTTTTTATCTTTAAATGTATTGTTTATGATTTTTTCATTTTCTAGATCACAAAAAGTTTCCTGTAAAAATATGATTTCAGCTTTTTGGTTTCTTAGCCAAAAATTTAATTTGGTTCTTTCTCTCTCATCATTTAACCCTCTAACATTAAGTGTAAGAAACCTGTATATAGAATTCATTGTTAACAGTTCTGTATCTTAGAAGTAACATAACAGTCATATCATTAACCATGTAAAAAAAGAGTATTTGCATGCAGCACTCTTCTTAAAAAAAAGTTAATAAAAAATACCAAATTTTACTTATACATACATTACATTTACATATCATATACATACACAGTGTATTATATATATATAATATACAGTGCACATATATATATCCGATATTTGCTGTATCACTTCTTAAAATAATTTTATGCATATTACCATATTTACAATTACTATGTATCTTATTTATATAAAGCATATTTGTTGCATGTGTTTCTTATTTTGTCATAGTATATATACAAAATATTTTATTATATACAGACGATTATTATATACAAAAGAGTCATTTACTGTTTGTAAATATATACAATATGTCTTAGTACAGGGGATATAGGTTTCTTAACCTATCACTGAAATTTTCCTGTTTTTGGAAGTTTTTCTGTGGAACTTGGAGTGTTACCTCCAGATCCTCTGTCTTTTCTCTTCTTAGGGGTCTTCTCTGTTTTCAGAACCTTTGTCTTGATGAATGTGCTTAACTTCCTGTACCCCTTGTTGGATAGGTGAACCCCTTTTGGATCAGAGGTAGTATAGTCACTCTCAGATGTTTTTCCATTGTTACATAACAACACATCTGTGCTGTCAATGAAACATGTGAATTCTGAGTGCTTCTCACACATGCATTTCAGTAGTTTGTTCATCTTTCTTATCTTATTGTTCACTGCATTGTCACATGGATGTATAGGTGTAAGGCTGCATACAGAGATTTCAGCTTTAGGTAAATTTTCATGTATCTCCTTCACAAGATTGTCATATTTCTGTGCGCTCTCTTCTGGTGTGTCATTATAGTAACAAATATTGTTTGCGCCTGCTTGTATAACAACCTTTTCGATGTCCTCTTTTTCAATTGGTTTACTTTTTAACAGGTCTTTGATCTCTTCTATCCGCTTTCCACTTTTTGCTCTAACTTCAAAACCTGCGTCAATAAAGTCCTTCGCCATAGCATTGGCCAAGGAAGCACCAAGTACTATTGTATTATATGTAGAACTGTGTTCGTCTATTTCACTGTCTTTAGCTGCTGTGGGGTTTTGTTTTTCATTTCTATTCACCATTGGACTTAGCTCATCAAATCTTATTTGCTCCAACAAACTTTTTTCAGTTGTCTGTGGTGATTCTGTAGACTTTTTTTCAGTTTGATTACCCCATGCATTGGTGCAATCTTTTACCTGGTGTGTCAAGGCTCCACATCTATAGCATCCTCGTCCTGGTCTGTTTTCTTTATTTGGACAACGGTAATACGGATGGTCAGTTCCTGAGCAGTGCCCACAGGGCTGACCTCTATATGATAATCTTCCTGGGAATCCTCCAATAGTTGGGTTGTTTGGTATAGGCAATTTGATCCCCGAGACTGTGATATATCGTACACCTGTCTTAACAGTTGACCTGCTCCCATCTGCTTTTTTAACGAAACCATAGCTAATGTCTTCAACATGCTCTACATATCTAGATAAGTGTGCACTTATAACACTATTTGGAATCTCCACTGGAATGTCACGTAATGTGATATTTACTATGTTACTTTCAACATCTGAAAGTGTCACAAAAGTATTGTTGATGTGTAGGCCAAAAGTAACTGCTGCTATTTTTGCCTCTTTGTTATTGAAGGTGATTATAATGTTCCTTTGGGCAAGTTGTATCGCATCTATATCAATTTCATCTACAACTGTAGTAAGGGCTTCAAGTATAACATCCTCACGCGCCCAATCAGCATCTCTATGGCTGCCTTTTACAGTTAGGTCTCTCTTTATTGAACTCATATTTCTGGACACCCTGTATTGGCCTTCCAATAGTTCTCAGTAAAGTATTTTTCCACTCAATTCACTAGCAGTATTTTTGGTAAATTACTGTTTTGGTAGTATAATTGGCAATATGCCTCCCTGTTTAACACCGCTTTTCCAACTCTAATTAGCTTATTATCCAATTTGTGTGCACTGCTTATAAACTGTTTTTGACCTCAATCTAGAAGCCCTTTGTCTTATTTCACATATTTTCATGCAGTTTTCTCCTATTTTCTCACTTGTCAGATAATTTTTTTGTAAAATAATTACTTCACTACGATCCTTATATATTCACGAATACGATAATATCCACAATGTTTTTTAAATGTGTCTATATCTCCATGTATTTTCACTTATATCAGGAGCAAATAACATGTGTCTTCACCTTACATACTAGCTTACTAACTCAGCCAAGTGTGAGACTTAGATAACACAGTACAGCCTTCGTCTTCATAGCAGTAAACAGGCAAAATAGTTAGCAGTCTTCAAAACAGTAAACAGTCAATACCGGATCATTGAGCAATGTCTATCAAGACATACCAGGCCCTCACCTGCACGTTAATACACATATCATTGAACAGCGTCTAACAACACAAACCAGGACCTCACCTGCACGTAAATACACATATCATTGAACAGCGTCTAACAACACAAACCAGGACCTCACCTGCTCGTAAATACACACATCATTGAGCAGTGTCTATCAAGACATACCAGGCCCTCACCTGCACGTTAATACACATATCATTGAACAGCGCCTAACAACACAAACCAGGACCTCACCTGCTCGTAAATACACATATCAATGAACAGCGTCTTACAACACAAACCAGGCCCTAACAACACATACCAGGACCTCACTTTCACATTCATACACACATCAATGATCAGCGTCTATCAACACATACCAGGACCTCACTTTCACATTCATACACACATCAATGAACAGCGTCTAACAACACAAACCAGGACCTCACCTGCACGTTAATACACATATCATTGGCAGCGTCTAACAACACAAACCAGGACCTCACCTGCACGTTAATACACACATCAATGAACAGCGTCTATCAAGACATACCAGGCCCTCACCTGCACGTTGATACACATATCATTGAACAGCGTCTAACAACACAAACCAGGCCCTCACCTGCACGTTAATGCACACATCAATGAACAGCGTCTATCAAGATATACCAGGCCCTAACAACACATACCAGGACCTCACTTTCACATTCATACACACATCAATGATCAGCGTCTATCAACACATACCAGGACCTCACTTTCACATTCATACTCACATCAATGAACAGCGTCTAACAACACAAACCAGGACCTCCCCTGCACGTAAATACACACATCATTGAACAGCGTCTAACAACACAAACCAGGACCTCACCTGCTCGTAAATACACACATCATTGAACAGCGTCTAACAACACAAACCAGGACCTCCCCTGCACGTAAATACACATATCATTGAACAGCGTCTAACAACACAAACCAGGACCTCACCTGCTCGTAAATACACACATCAATGAACAGCGTCTAACAACACAAACCAGGCCCTCACCTGCACGTTAATACACATATCAATGAACAGCGCCTAACAACACAAACCAGGACCTCACCTGCTCGTAAATACACACATCAATGAACAGCGTCTAACAACACAAACCAGGACCTCACCTGCACGTTAATACACATATCATTGAACAGCGTCTAACAACACAAACCAGGACCTCACCTGCACGTTAATACACACATCAATGATCAGCGTCTATCAACACATACCAGGACCTCACTTTCACATTCATACACACATCAATGATCAGCGTCTATCAACACATACCCGGACCTCACCTGCACGTTAATACACACATCATTGAACAGCGTCTAACAACACAAACCAGGACCTCACCTGCACGTTAATACACACATCATTGAGCAGCGTCTAACAACACAAACCAGGACCTCACCTGCACGTTAATACACATATCATTGCATGAACAGCGTCTAACAACACAAACCAGGACCTCACCTGCTCGTAAATACACACATCATTGAACAGCGTCTAACAACACAAACCAGGACCTCACCTGCACGTTAATACACATATCATTGCATGAACAGCGTCTAACAACACAAACCAGGACCTCACCTGCACGTTAATACACATATTATTGCATGAACAGCGTCTAACAACACAAACCAGGACCTCACCTGCTCGTAAATACACACATCATTGAGCAGTGTCTATTAAGACATACCAGGCCCTCACCTGCACGTTAATACACATATCATTGAACAGCGCCTAACAACACATACCAGGAACTCACTTTTACATTCATACACACATCAATTTCAGCGTCTATCAAGACATACCAGGACCTCCGCTGCACGTAAATACATACATCATTGAACAGCGCCTAACAACACATACCAGGACCTCACCTGCACGTTAATACACACATCATTGAGCAGTGTCTATCAAGACATACCAGGCCCTCACCTGCACGTTAATACACATATCATTGAAAAGCGTCTAACAACACAAACCAGGACCTCACCTGCTCGTAAATACACACATCAATGAACAGCGTCTAACAACACAAACCAGGCCCTCACCTGCACGTTAATACACATATCAATGAACAGCGCCTAACAACACATACCAGGAACTCACTTTTACATTCATACACACATCAATGATCAGCGTCTAACAACACAAACCAGGACCTCACCTGCACGTTAATACACACATCAATGAACAGCGTCTATCAAGACATACCAGGCCCTCACCTGCACGTTGATACACATATCATTGAACAGCGTCTAACAACACAAACCAGGCCCTCACCTGCACGTTAATGCACACATCAATGAACAGCGTCTATCAAGATATACCAGGCCCTAACAACACATACCAGGACCTCACTTTCACATTCATACACACATCGATGATCAGTGTCTATCAAGACATGCCAGTACCCCACCTGCACTTTAATACACATATCATTGAGAAGCGTCTTTCAAGACATACCTGTTGTTGCACCAAATATTGCTGCATATACTGCCATAAGTGGGTATGTCGTAAATATTGGGCTGCATATTGTTGACGCTCCGCAGATCAGTATAGATACACCCGCAAGAATGTGTCGGGACTTTTCGCTAGCATTTCCAATCCAGCCAAAAATAATTCTCCCCGACACATTAGCGATGCCAATAATGGACACTAAAAACGAGGCCCTCTCTGGGTCGATTCCTAACGATATTGCTCTGTCTGGTGTGTAGGTGAACGGTGCGTGGTATCCCAAACTTATCAGCATCATTGCTATTGAGAAAATCAGTAGAATTGGATTTTTAAACATTGAAAAGTCAAATATGTCTTTTAGCATTGATTTTGTAGATTCACACCAACCCGAGCAACATCCTTGTTTGTCCATAACTACAACGTTGACTCCGTTTGATTGGCTTGATTGTCTCTCGAGGTCAGGATCATAATACTTAGTTTTGATATCACCATTTTCGCCCTTTGTTTCCTTTTGACTTGCTGTTAGAGCTACTGTTTCATGGTCATCACTAATTGCAGTGTAAGCAGTGTCGTCCGCCTCTTCGTTAGAGGGGACTGGTAGCATCACCAACGAACATAGCGTCCCCAGGAGAAGGAACCCGGCCTCTATTACCAGCGTCCAGCGCCACTTGACCATATCAAGTAAATAACGCGTCAACAAGCCGAACACAAGCGTCCCCAGTCCTGACCCGGCCACTGCTATCCCTGTTGCCAATGCACGTTTTTCCTCGAAGTAATATTGCACAACTAACATGGATGAAACATACATCATACCATTGCCGATTCCTACAAATAGAAATGCACTCTGTTCAATCGAAAAGATCTAACAAACATATATATTGTAGTAGGTCTAAAATTATATTGAATATGTCAGTTATAATACAATCACCAAGTAAGCCAAATAGACCCATTGGCAATTGCACATGCGTACATTATTGAATATGTCAGTTATAATACAACCATCAAGTAAGCCAAATAGACCTATTGGAAATTGCACATGCGTACATTATTGAATATGTCAGTTATAATACAACCATCAAGTAAGCCAAATAGACCCATTGGCAATTGCACATGCGTACATTATTGAATATGTCAGTTATAATACAACCACCGAGTAAGCCAAATAGACCTATTGGCAATTGCACATGCGTACATTATTGAATATGTCAGTTATAATACAACCATCAAGTAAGCCAAATAGACCCATTGGCAATTGCACATGCGTACATTATTGAATATGTAAGTTATAATACAACCACCGAGTAAGCCAAATAGACCTATTGGCAATTGCACATGCTTACATTATTGAATATGTCAGTTATAATACAACCATCAAGTAAGCCAAATAGACCCATTGGCAATTGCACATGCGTACATTATTGAATATGTCAGTTATAATACAACCATCAAGTAAGCCAAATAGACCCATTGGCAATTGCACATGCGTACATTATTGAACATGTCAGTTATAATACAACCACCGAGTAAGCCAAATAGACCTATTGGCAATTGCACATGCGTACATTATTGAATATGTCAGTTATAATACAACCATCAAGTAAGCCAAATAGACCTATTGGCAATTGCACATGCGTACATTATTGAATATGTCAGTTATAATACAACCACCAAGTAAGCCAAATAGACCTATTGGCAATTGCACATGCGTACATTATTGAATATGTCAGTTATAATACAACCACCGAGTAAGCCAAATAGACCTATTGGCAATTGCACATGCGTACATTATTGAATATGTCAGTTTTAATACAACCACCAAGTAAGCCAAATAGACCTATTGGCAATTGCACATGCGTACATTATTGAATATGTCAGTTATAATACAACCACCGAGTAAGCTAAATAGACCTATTGGCAATTGCACATGCGTACATTATTGAATATGTCAGTTATAATACAACCACCGAGTAAGCCAAATAGACCTATTGGCAATTGCACATGCGTACATTATTGAATATGTCAGTTATAATACAACCACCAAGTAAGCCAAATAGACCCATTGGCAATTGCACATGCGTACATTATTGAATGCGATTCAATATAAGACAACGGTTGTTCAGGGAGAATGCAATTGGTGTTTAGGTTAGGGTTAGCACAAGACGCTTACCTGACAGAACGCCATAGGTAAAGTAGAGAATATAGATGTTATTAACCAATGCGCTAGTGAGAAAGCCAATTGTTGAGAGAACGGAACCTGCGAAAGTAACGGCTCTGCAGCCAAATCTTTTCATCAATGGTCCGACCACAATACCTGTAAGATTATATAATAAAAATATAAAAATATCAAAATTACGATAATCTCCTTTCTCATTCTGAACACTTTTCAATCAAGTAGGGTCGCGATAGTTACCATTTTTGTGTCATCTTATAATTTTTGATAGAGGAAATTGACCCGTTCGTTAACATTACTCTAGATGGCTACATAAAACACAAAAATGGGAACATACCCGTGAAATACAGGGTGGTCCAAAAAAGTGAACTCTTGCAACCGGCTATATATTTCCCTTATTACCTGCAGGAATCCTTTTATAGTTTCACATGTTGTAAAGGAAGGTCTAAAATTTTTGTTGGTACTATACATTTTTCTTAGTATTGAAAGGACAAGGTGCAATTATTGGCAAATATCCCTATGGTCAAAATGAATCATTCGTAGGTGTAACATGAAGAATAAAATGTCATATAATACTTTAGAAAATATTAAAGTGCTCGGACACACATCAGCTGAGATAGGGATCATTTTGTTCAGTAAGGTTGTATTGACTTACATGGGGCTGTGCACCATTGACTTAACATGAGGATATCAGCAGATCCCAATAGAGGCCATTGGTTTCCATTGATTATCACAGAAATACCAAAAATACACTATGACCTGAATCGATTGCAAACTTAATAATTTCACAATACGACACAAATGGTTTATCTCATCAAATGTGCAAATATGAAGTTTGCAATCGATTCAGGTCATGCTTAAAATTAAAAGATTGTTCATTTTTTCATCATTTTTTTCCCTACAAAATGGCTATAGAAAAATGCTCCAAAAACAACTTTTACACTTATCAAATATCATACAAGTTTGTAAAACCAAAGATTATACTATTATATTTCATTATGTAGTAACATATTTGGATAAGATGCAGGGATGCGTAGGATGTAAATGGATTTTGACAGACACAAAAATACTTCCTGGTTTGGAATCTATGCCTTTACACTTCATGATTGAATTATGACCCTTATAAGTGGCCTATACATCAATACAGTGCTGAATATAGGTCAAAAAGATACTAGTGTGCATATAAATGTAATAATTGAAGCAGAATACTCATTTTGAAAAATCAGATGAATTATTTTTTTCCCATGGGGAGATCCCAATGGAGGGTGTATAAGGTCCTTTGCAGAAATTATAAGCCATAACCAAACATCACTGAAAATGGGTAAAATGTGAACTTCAATATCTGCGATTCAACCCTTCAACAATCTAGCCATGGAAAGCTTTTAAGCCGGGAGTCTGGGAAACCTAATGTTTTCTGACTTTGTTTGGTTATGAATCCCACACAATATGATGTAAAAATTAGCATCATAGCTCCGTTAGTTGCAAAGTTATTGTGATCTAAAGAAATGTTCAATGTTTCCAAAGACGAGAACATCTTCCAGTGAAATCTCAACATAACCATATATGGTCTTAAAATGTTAATATCTTTATTAATCATGGACCAATTCTAATGAAATATGGCTCAAAACACTGAATATTAGATTTCCTTTTGATTTTTGTAAGATTTTATATAAAGGGCTTCTCAGATTTTGGGTCACAGGGGGTAACTTTGCCCCCCTCTACCCATTTGTGTAGGTAACATGCCTCTAAACTGTTGAATGGTTAAAACAGCTTCAAAATGGTCAATAAAAGTGTGAAATGTGTTTTCTGCTCAAATAGTGTCCCATTTGTCATATGGTAGGGTTTAAACTTATAATATCTCACTGAAAGCATTTTTAAGATCAACTAATGTGTATCAACAATTTCCATCAATCACATCGGTAAAATTTTGCACAAAATCTAATTTGAGGCATGTTTGTTAAAGTCTTGTAATTTCTTCGAAATTCAAGACTGAGACTAAATTATGGTGTCAACAAAAAGTTTAGACCTTTCTCTTCAAGATGTGATAATATGAGCAAATTCATGCATGTATTAAGTAAAATATAGCCTGTTGCAGGGGTTCACTTTTTTGGACCACCCTGTACATCGTTAACATTACTCTAGATGGCTACATAAACATAAAATTGGGAACATACCCGTGAAATACATCAAGAATGGTTGTATAGAACCAATCCATGACGTCACAGATCTAGGCTCTTTAAAATAGTCAAGTAAATCTACGTATAGAACTCCAAATGTGTATGTGATTCCTACTGTCAGAGCTTGAATTATGAACGATGATCCTACAATAATCCATCCCCAGCCTCCATCTTTGACAAGATGCCCATTCCCATTTTTGGTTTTATCAGGCATTTTGCAACGTCACTTTCGGGCGACCATATAGGGTGATTTGACACTTGTATTAGATGTTCATCTGGCTACGTATCCGAAGCGAAATTGATTTTTGTTGCTCTGAAACAAGACAAATATATATATTTATATGCATACATTGTCCAACGGAACAGTCCTTATAGTGTCAAGTTACTGCATGAGTACAATGAGCATGTTATTTCGTCCAGATTTAAAATTGAAGATTAATCAACTTCAACAAAAATCATTGCATAAAGTTATTAAAGTATTGAGTGTGCACTGTTTTAATGTAAGTTAATTGTAAACTCACTTTCGACCTGTCTGTATGTTTAATTAATTAAGAGGGTGCCAAGTCCATGTATAGAAATATTAAAGTTTAATTAATTAAGTAAAGTCTTTTAAGAAGGTACCAAGTCCATGTATAGATATATTGAAGTTTGCACCTTGCAAGATAAACTACAGTTTTATAACCCCGTGAGTGCACCTCGGGCACATCTTGGGGAGGATGGCAATAAAATAGAAATTAGGCTTTCGGGTCGATCTATTTTGCGAGAATTAGCAATTCGCGGAGAATGAGCCTCATACTAATAATTATGTTGCATTAGTTTTTAGTTCCGTTTTAAATCAATGTCAGTTTGTTCTACACGGTCTCAAAATTAAATTATACTCCAATCAAAACGTCTCCACAATATTCGACAAGTATTAGCTCAATGACAAATAACAAAGGGAAACATTACAGAACATAAGTATATTGCGTAGGGTGTTTGAACATGTGTTATGTAGACTGTTTTCAAAACGCACGTTGATAGAACTAATTATCTAAAATGTACAAAAGATTTGTTTGATAAATCTTTTTATCTAAATATACAAAAGTAAACTAATTATAAATTGATAAATCTAATTATTCAAAATATACAAAGTGTTATATCCAAAATAAAACTAATTATATGCGAGGGTTTTCAAAATGCGTTTGTGTTTTTTCATTTACAACTACACTGTTGACGTTTTCAATTTATTGCTTATTGTTTTAGGTTTGTTGGTAGGTTTATACATTTCCAATTTATTGCTTATTGTTTTAGGTTTGTTGTTAGGTTTATACATTTGCAATTTATTGCTTATTGTTTTAGGTTTGTTGGTAGGTTTATACATTTGCAATTTATTGCTTATTGTTTTAGGTTTGTTGTTAGGTTTATACATTTGCAATTTATTGCTTATTGTTTTAGGTTTGTTGTTAGGTTTATACATTTTCAATTTATTGCTTATTGTTTTAGGTTTGTTGTTAGGTTTATACATTTCCAATTTATTGCTTATTGTTTTAGGTTTGTTGGTAGGTTTATACATTTCCAATTTATTGCTCATTGTTTTAGGTTTGTTGTTAGGTTTATACATTTCCAATTTATTGCTTATTGTTTTAGGTTTGTTGGTAGGTTTATACATTTCCAATTTATTGCTCATTGTTTTAGGTTTGTTGGTAGGTTTATACATTTCCAATTTATTGCTCATTGTTTTAGGTTTGTTGTTAGGTTTATACATTTGCAATTTATTGCTTATTGTTTTAGGTTTGTTGGTAGGTTTATACATTTCCAATTTATTGCTTATTGTTTTAGGTTTGTTGGTAGGTTTATACATTTGCAATTTATTGCTTATTGTTTTAGGTTTGTTGGTAGGTTTATACATTTCCAATTTATTGCTTATTGTTTTAGGTTTGTTGGTAGGTTTATACATTTCCAATTTATTGCTTATTGTTTTAGGTTTGTTGGTAGGTTTATACATTTCCAATTTATTGCTTATTGTTTTAGGTTTGTTGTTAGGTTTATACATTTCCAATTTATTGCTCATTGTTTTAGGTTTGTTGGTAGGTTTATACATTTCCAATTTATTGCTTATTGTTTTAGGTTTGTTGGTAGGTTTATACATTTCCAATTTATTGCTCATTGTTTTAGGTTTGTTGGTAGGTTTATACATTTGCAATTTATTGCTCATTGTTTTAGGTTTGTTGTTAGGTTTCTACATTTGCAATTTATTGCTTATTGTTTTAGGTTTGTTGGTAGGTTTATACATTTCCAATTTATTGCTCATTGTTTTAGGTTTGTTGGTAGGTTTATACATTTGCAATTTATTGCTTATTGTTTTAGGTTTGTTGGTAGGTTTATACATTTCCAATTTATTGCTTATTGTTTTAGGTTTGTTGTTAGGTTTATACATTTCCAATTTATTGCTTATTGTTTTAGGTTTGTTGGTAGGTTTATACATTTCCAATTTATTGCTTATTGTTTTAGGTTTGTTGTTAGGTTTATACATTTCCAATTTATTGCTTATTGTTTTAGGTTTGTTGGTAGGTTTATACATTTTCAATTTATTGCTTATTGTTTTAGGTTTGTTGGTAGGTTTATACATTTTCAATTTATTGCTTATTGTTTTAGGTTTGTTGTTAGGTTTATACATTTCCAATTTATTGCTTATTGTTTTAGGTTTGTTGTTAGGTTTATACATTTGCAATTTATTGCTTATTGTTTTAGGTCTGTTGGTAGGTTTATACATTTCCAATTTATTGCTCATTGTTTTAGGTTTGTTGGTAGGTTTATACATTTCCAATTTATTGCTTATTGTTTTAGGTTTGTTGGTAGGTTTATACATTTCCAATTTATTGCTTATTGTTTTAGGTTTGTTGGTAGGTTTATACATTTCCAATTTATTGCTTATTGTTTTAGGTTTGTTGTTAGGTTTATACATTTGCAATTTATTGCTTATTGTTTTAGGTTTGTTGGTAGGTTTATACATTTCCAATTTATTGCTTATTGTTTTAGGTTTGTTGTTAGGTTTATACATTTGCAATTTATTGCTTATTGTTTTAGGTTTGTTGGTAGGTTTATACATTTCCAATTTATTGCTTATTGTTTTAGGTTTGTTGTTAGGTTTATACATTTGCAATTTATTGCTTATTGTTTTAGGTTTGTTTGTAGGTTTATACATTTCCAATTTATTGCTTATTGTTTTAGGTTTGTTGTTAGGTTTATACATTTCCAATTTATTGCTTATTGTTTTAGGTTTGTTGTTAGGTTTATACATTTCCAATTTATTGCTTATTGTTTTAGGTTTGTTGTTAGGTTTATACATTTCCAATTTATTGCTTATTGTTTTAGGTTTGTTGGTAGGTTTATACATTTCCAATTTATTGCTTATTGTTTTAGGTTTGTTGGTAGGTTTATACATTTCCAATTTATTGCTTATTGTTTTAGGTTTGTTGGTAGGTTTATACATTTCCAATTTATTGCTTATTGTTTTAGGTTTGTTGGTAGGTTTATACATTTCCAATTTATTGCTTATTGTTTTAGGTTTGTTGTTAGGTTTATACATTTCCAATTTATTGCTTATTGTTTTAGGTTTGTTGGTAGGTTTATACATTTCCAATTTATTGCTTATTGTTTTAGGTTTGTTGGTAGGTTTATACATTTCCAATTTATTGCTTATTGTTTTAGGTTTGTTGGTAGGTTTATACATTTCCAATTTATTGCTTATTGTTTTAGGTTTGTTGTTAGGTTTATACATTTCCAATTTATTGCTTATTGTTTTAGGTTTGTTGGTAGGTTTATACATTTCCAATTTATTGCTTATTGTTTTAGGTTTGTTGGTAGGTTTATACATTTGCAATTTATTGCTTATTGTTTTAGGTTTGTTGGTAGGTTTATACATTTCCAATTTATTGCTTATTGTTTTAGGTTTGTTGTTAGGTTTATACATTTGCAATTTATTGCTTATTGTTTTAGGTTTGTTGGTAGGTTTATACATTTCCAATTTATTGCTTATTGTTTTAGGTTTGTTGTTAGGTTTATACATTTGCAATTTATTGCTTATTGTTTTAGGTTTGTTGGTAGGTTTATACATTTCCAATTTATTGCTCATTGTTTTAGGTTTGTTGGTAGGTTTATACATTTCCAATTTATTGCTCATTGTTTTAGGTTTGTTGGTAGGTTTATACATTTCCAATTTATTGCTTATTGTTTTAGGTTTGTTGGTAGGTTTATACATTTGCAATTTATTGCTTATTGTTTTAGGTTTGTTGTTAGGTTTATACATTTGCAATTTATTGCTTATTGTTTTAGGTTTGTTGGTAGGTTTATACATTTCCAATTTATTGCTTATTGTTTTAGGTTTGTTGTTAGGTTTATACATTTGCAATTTATTGCTTATTGTTTTAGGTTTGTTGGTAGGTTTATACATTTCCAATTTATTGCTTATTGTTTTAGGTTTGTTGGTAGGTTTATACATTTCCAATTTATTGCTTATTGTTTTAGGTTTGTTGTTAGGTTTATACATTTCCAATTTATTGCTTATTGTTTTAGGTTTGTTGGTAGGTTTATACATTTGCAATTTATTGCTTATTGTTTTAGGTTTGTTGGTAGGTTTATACATTTTCAATTTATTGCTTATTGTTTTAGGTTTGTTGGTAGGTTTATACATTTCCAATTTATTGCTTATTGTTTTAGGTTTGTTGTTAGGTTTATACATTTTCAATTTATTGCTTATTGTTTTAGATTTGTTGGTAGGTTTATACATTTGCAATTTTATAGAATCCTCATTGCAGCCATGTCTTATTTTTAAGACCACATAACTCATTTTGTATATGGTTTACACCTTTCATGATCAGCTTTGAAAAGTGCATTATGTACCAGGAAAAAGAATGAAGAGAATATATTTTTAGAAATATATATGAAGTATTTTCAAACATTTTACAAAAACAATACTCTTTGCTTGACATAATAGTGCACTTTTTGTGCAAAACTGCAAGATGCAGAATTGTTTGTTCCTCAAAATAACATGTCCAATGAAGATTATATAAAAATTCCAAACGTACACGCTTACCTAACTCACTAAATGTTATTCAGACTGTATATGACCCACGTCTGTCCCACATAAGACATATAGACGTCGATCCACCGCCGTTTCTATAATACATGTAATAGCACAGCAGATGAATCCACCATTATGATTTTGTATCGTTTTCTTCGCTTTCCGGATGTTTCCTCCGCTGATTTCTCAAATTTTCGAATTTTAGTCTTGTTGTTTTGTTATCATTTCGACTGTTTGAATAATTCAACTCGTGTTTCGAGTTGGTCGTGTACTTTTTCCGGCTCTTTTGAATAGGTTCTTTTTCGATATAAAAATTAAGGCAATTCCGTATGTTAAGAAAATTTAAATGGCTTCCCAATTGGAAGTCTATTTTCTATTTGGTGCTATTTTCAGGTACACATTTCTCATTCTGTATATGTTCTACATCTTTCAGTTTATCTTATGCATTAATAACCTTGATTATCAGCTACCCATGAACAAGAAAAACTCAATCTCCATTAAAACTTCTGAACGTAAGGAATTACCTTAAGGTGTATACAATTAGGCTATACACGTAAACGAAACCTATTGACCCGTAAGTTGACCGAGCTTTTCCTTTTGTTGCGTGTTGTAGTTGGCAGTGCCTGGAGACTGTTTATGTTTTGAATGGATGCTATAATGTGCTGCGCAGAGTTTGGCTTCATGTGGCTTCATATATGGCTTCATCAAGCTAATCAACCTTAATTATTATTATCGTTTATATTTTAGGTGAACCGAACTGATAAACGATATTTGGCTATATGTGTTTTCAATCATCGTGGTAAGCCACGCCCCCTCCATCTCTATCCTTCTGGAGATGCAACAGAGAGAGATGCTATGAGTATCAATTCAGAATGGTTTTCAATTGCTAACCTGAATTGACCGATACATCTCAAAAATTGATCACGGCAAGAATCATAGATTAGATCGTGTAAATTTATTTATATTTATTGTTTATAAAAACGCGTTTATAATCTTCGATTGCAGCCAATTATAACCAATAAAAGTGCATCGCTCACCAATCCGTTTCTGAACCATGAGCTCCTTACCCCACTTACCATTGCATGTTTCCAAGTCCTTTTACGTAGGAAACATATGTACACGTAAATGTTTTAACAATCCATCTCACAGTCTGTTGTGCACGTTGTCTTCTCCTATTTTTCTTTATTACTTTTTACTTGTAACTGGTGTAGTCTCTCCCAGACACAACATGTGCAATCGATTATATTTGTAACTTATATTTAGAGTTTGGTCTTCAGTAATTGATCTTTAAACTTTTACTTTTATTGTTTGACCTTAGATGTGTAAAAATGAAATCGGCACGATAACAGTCTGGGTCTTTGGATATCCTGCCATGGGAACTTATCAAACTGAGGGGCTGTAGAGTTGAAAGGGAATTTAGAGAGCATACATTCGTATAATAATTTGCAAAATTCATCTAATGAAATAAAATAACCTGAATACGTTCATGACCTCGCTTTTAAACCATATTATATAATCCTTAAATCCCCGCAACTGAATGGATCAGATTTGGAAAGCGCAATAAACTTACTATGTGAACTCAATACACGTACAATAATAAGCTTTAGCCAATACAAATTGCATAATTATTTATACACACTATTTTCCACTACGGAATCATACACAGCGTGATTATCAGGAGCAGGTTATTCCATGGATCGTAATATAACGATAATATGAATATTCCGTCAGGGGGAAAGGCAGTAAAACTCATGAGTACAGTTGGGGACATAAATAAATGACAGGTGGATTTGCTGAAGTGAGGATTTCCCATGTTAAAATAAGAGAATTTACAAGAGGCCATAAATCAGTGGATGAGATTATACAAAATGTAAAATATACAAATTTTAAGGGATATGTATCTAGACAATATTGGAAATTATGGGCTTTCAGACCACCATAATTAGGAAATGGTGATCGAAAATCGACCTGTCATTTATTTTTGTCCCCAACTGTAGGAGCAATTTTGACATTTTCCATATTTTTAATAGGTGATTTTCGAGTTGTCAAAGGAGTGATTCTTTATATTAAACTGGTAAACAAATTTTAGATGAACTTTAAACTCTGATGATCTTCACGAAGTTATCTCTTTAAAAATGAAATAAAATATTAATTTTGTGTTGTGCAGTGGATGATAAACCATTCTAAAGATAATTCAATTCGACATAAGTTGATTTATAAAATCATGGTATCACATCATAAGGAAAAGAAATGTGTTTTTGGGGTATGGCTCATTTCTGATCGTTAATATCACATGAAGAAGAATTAATATGATAATTAACAAATTAAACTATGTCTAGATGGAAGTGACATACGCCTATTAAGTTATTACTTGGGGAGCCAGTGCACATTTGACACTAAAATGACGAAGAATGTATTAAAGCTTTTGAACATTCATACAACACACTTTGAATTATAATTATTATTTTCATCTAATTTGCATTTTCATACAGGATGACATTTCTAAACAATTAATAGAAAACAACTAGACAATATGTATCAGCTGACCTTAGATACGGATTTGAATGTGGAAAACCTCAGATTTAGATGAGCAAAACCTCAAATTTGAATGTTTCTCAATGATCGGCGATTCTCAAATATCCAAGCATAAACAGGTGTCATCGACGGTAAGATCCTAGTTGCCAGACTTGAAGCGGAGTGTACCACAGAATTAAGTCTTTCAAATGATATATCATATTACGTTTGACAGTTTGCTGTGGAGGTGTATTCGTATATTAGCCATGAATATTTGATTCGACGATCTGTTATTCTTATAGTGATCTGGGTCTGGTGGCTTGCTTCTAATAGCTTGTCCTTAGATGTGTTAACATATTATAAATGTCTGCGAAGACGCATTAACACTTGCTGAAGTTCCGTACACACGTCACATCGCCGCATGTCATCGTCTGAAAAAATAACATGAATATATTTTTCGCACAAAGTAATATTTCATCAAGTGTACTGGTTGATCATTATGAATATTATTCCAGGGGCGGATCTGGGAACCAACAAGGGGGGGGGGCAAATATCAGGTCAGAGAAAAAACCTTTGGGCCCCTAAAACCACTTGTATACATTTCAGACATTATTCTAGCGTCATTCAGAGTTCTCGATCGTGCTATTTCAAAACAACAAACCTGTTGCATCGTATCGCCATCTATTGTTCGCACCACTTTTAAACCCTTTCCTTTACCATCAGCAGGCTTGGCCTCGACAACTAGACTTGACCCTTCCCAGAATGCCTTGGCCTGAAAGAAATACAATTTTAGTATAACCAAGAGATTTGGATCCGCCCAGTTCTTGCATTTGTAACTTTGTAAACACTTTTCGTGAGTTTTGTTTTAATAAACTGCGGTGTTCCTTTCGGGAAAAAATGAGCAGTACAAGATGTATTGATATGTCATGGGTAATTATACTTATATATATATATGGTTGGGCTTACGCGCTCAATGTATGCACGCGTTGTTTACGGATGTGTAGGCGTTAATTACGCTCGTACAGATGTAAAATTACGCCCGTGCAGACGTAAAATTACGCCGGTGTATGCATAAATTACGCCCATGAAGAAGTAAAGTCTACGGGTGTTCAAACAACCTTTACGGACGTAAACTTTCGGTGTTAAAATGATTAATTACGGTTATTTTACACGCGTCGAGAAACTTCTTCCCGCCCGTCGAGTTTATTTTAGCACCGTAAATTATGAACCAATCAGCACCTTACTTACATAAAGATTCAATGCATCCTTGCTAAAAGAGCAACTCAAAGATCCTTGCACAAGTAAAAAACAATCAGTAGCCCGCTTACATTTTAGTGTGTTGCATTGATGTCCTTACATATTAGGCTTAACTAAAAGAGTATTCAATTTTTAGAGCAAATTAAAAGGAAAATTGAAGATACTGTGTCGGCAGTTATCAATAGGGGTGGGACGGATAACCGAAATACCGAAAAACCGCGGTTCAGAGCCATCGGATCGGTTTTCGGATCGCTACCCTACTGTCGGTTCGCGTTTTCGGTTCATTTTCGGTTCAGTATTTGACCTACAAGTAAAAATAAAACACTGTTTTACAGTGTTTGTCAACATTTTTGATATTTCCCTACCTCGTCTGCTGCTAGCTCATTCGTTTACACTCGTTTCGTATCCAGGTGCTTAAAATAAAAATTAGCAGCCCATTTGGTTAGGAAGCCCGAGAAATGGTTAAATCTCCCTGATATATTGAACCCAACCTACTTAAATTACTTGCTTATTCCTTGGATATTCAATTACCTTAATTACACAACATAATTACAAGAGAACATGCATGAAATAATAGAGAAATAGGCATGAAATGGACCAACACAAAATTTCTATGTTCTAAGATCGGCAAAAATTGAACAAACTGACAACGCTCCATTTTACATTAATTCCTGCCAAGTCCACTCTAATTTTAAGTGATTATGAAACAAACAAGAACTATACATCTAAAACAATAACTTTTTGAAAGAAATATGTACTAATTATTGCAAAATCAGGAGTTTAATTTGACATTCTTAGCGATATTTTATTGGTCTGGTTGATATGGATATGGGTGTTCTCAGAAAATGCTATACAACAAGTCGCTTTAGCGAACAATATGCGGGAAATTCAAAAAATCAAAATCAAAAATCGTCACAATAATATTATAATGTTGGCATAATTGATTTGCGCAAATTTATATTTGTAGGGGTATTTGTTGTGATGTAGGGTATTAATTTGCGCGCACAAAGCATCCATATTTGAGCTCCTATATAGGAAATGCATCATAGATGTCACGACATCTGAAAAGACATCATCAGTGTAGCGTTTGCAAGATAGTAGGCCTATAAGAAAAAGGTTTCTTCTACAAGTAAAATAAGTTATTTTATTGTGGGTAATAAAATAAAGTGACAATCAGTAGTGTAGTCCGAGATAAAGGCATTCAATCTATAACAATCGCTAAATTGAATGAACCGAACCGAAAAAACCGAACCGACGGCCGGGGAACCGAAAAACCGAACCGAACTGAACCGAAACGAACCGTCCCATCCCTAGTTATCAACACCCATTGTAGAAACGACAAAATTGCAGAATTTGAGAATGACATGTTTTGTTTCTAAATATGATGATTTTTTCGGATAATTCTCCCAATCCTTCATTTGCACAAATAGTGCACCAAGATGCCTAGAAAAGAAATAATGTTCCTTATGCCATAACTTGCAATAGTTGTTCCTGGCACAATCGTGAGTAATAACTTGCACAATGATCTGGAGTTGCACTTTTAGCTAGAATGCATTGTATCATCATGTAAGCAAGATGCTGATTCAGTGATTGGTTCATAATTAACGGCGCTAAAATAAACTCGACGAGCGTATAGATGTTTCTCAATGCGTGTTAAATAACGTCTTAACGCCCGCTATCGAACATTTTAAGGCCGTTACTTTACGCCTGTATTTGTTTTAACGTGTATAGAACCCACTTCTTAACGGGCGTAATTAACGCCTACAAGGGCGTAAATTACGTCTGCATGGGCGTAATTTTGCGTCTACACGGGCGTAATTAACGCCTACACACCCGTAAACAACGCGTGCATACATAGGGTAGGTTGGCAACCCATATATTTATAAGATATTTCCTGAAATTATCATTCCTGCTTACAAGTTATATGCTCCAATATGAAATTATTCATATGTAAATGCAAGTATACTATCACACGTTCTAAAACGTTCACCAGGTACAAATCATAAATCAGATTACAGACCTCGATCGGCCTGATATAAATTATTACGCGGTAAACACGATACAAAAATATGTCATATTCCGCAACGAATATGCCATATTCACTTGCGGTGTATGACAGATTCACCTGCGGTATATGGCACACACACTAACCAATGAGAACGTGATACGGAAGTACGCAATTGTCAATAGCATCGATTGAACGAACAAGTAAAATTTTATTAATTATGATAATGATTACTGAATCAACAGTACTGTGTATCGAATATATTAACTTAGCAGAAGTATCAGTCACCAATCTCACGTAATAAACTTACTCAATCAATCGAGGATTCATATATTAGTACTCGACGCACTAACTATATTGGTAATCCAGCGTAGTTTTACATTTAGAGTCGACTCTCGCAACCAATCAAATCAAAGCTTTCTGTATCACGTTTTCACCTGCGGTATATGTCATATTCACCGGCGGTGTATGGCATATTCCGCAAGTGAGTATGACATATTCCGCAGGTGAGTATCGGGTATTCACTAAAATCAATGTATCGCATATTCACTGCGGAATATCGCATACTCACTTGCAGAATATGCCATATACCGCAGGTGAGTATGGCATATTCACCCGTATCACAAATACCGCGCAACCATGAATGTATGCCATATACCGCGTAACATAAATGACCAATTAGATTGCAGACCTTGATCGGCCTTATATAAATGACCAATCAGATTACAGACTTGATCAACTTATTTAGGCCTAAACGACCAATCAGATTACAAGCATTGATCAGCTGATATGAATGACCAATCAGATTACAAACCTAGATCACCTGATATAAATGATCAATCAGATTCCAGACCTTGATCACCTCGTATAAACGACCGATCCGATTACAAACCTTGTTCACATGATTTAAATAACCAATTAGACTACATACATTGATCACCTGATATGAAGGACCAATCAGATTACAGACTTTGATCAACTGATACAAATGACCAATCAAATTACAGACCTTGATCACCTGATATATAGGGTGGTCCAAAAAAATTGGAACATTTGATAATTGAACTAAAAATCATATTTTTCCTCTAAAATGCACCAACATTTTACTATGTAATTTTCAATTTATATTTATCTGATGTAGAGGTTATAGGTGCAAACAACAAAGTTAATGCATTAAACTAGACAATGTTTGATATGATCCCTCTTCTACTGAATTACAAGTTGAAGCCTGGGTCTCAATTTTGAAATGATTCATTCGCTTTGCTGTCCGTTTGATTTTGTCCAAGCCTTATTGTTTAAAAATTCAGCCTGAACAAACTTATATGTTTGCCTTCGGGAAGATCAAATACATGAAGACATGATCATATTTAACTTTTTTTTATGGATATCAAGCATATTTTGATGGCTATTGTTGTTGGGTGTATTTCTGATTGAATATTCTCCAGAAAGAGGCCAGGGCAGTCTGTTTTGATTGGTAAATGGAGCCTCCCCCTCCCCCCTTTATTGTTTTAATATGAATAATATTCATTGAATATATCAATATACTGTATGTATCAATATCATAAAGGAGTTTCCCAGAACACAAATGATATATTATATCATATCTGCTTAGAGGTGGTCTTTAATACAGCCTTGTGAATAACTAGTCAGTTTCCCCTTTACTGAAAAGTGGAAACAATGATTTAGTCAATTTATATAGTAGCTGTATAGGTTATGCAATCACTCACCCCTGACATGTACTTTCTTTCCTACTCTTAAATAAAAATAATGATTTTGGGTAATCTTAAGCTGACAATAACAAAATAGTTTTCTAGTAAACCATAGATGTTAATACCTCTTGTCAACTAAATATGATTTTATAAAATGTGTATATCAATCAACATACATATGTATTCATTACAGCTTTGAATTAAAGAATACTTGAAAAAGTAGCGGCGAAATTGACAAGTGTATATTGAAGAAAAGGGGGTCCTATGAAACATTGACTAGTTTAATGCATTAACTTTGTGGTTTGCACCAATGCTCAGTATGCGGAATTTTAAAGGAAAATAAAGGTTTTGTGTTCAATTAACAAACGTTCCAATTTCTTTTGACCACCCTGTAGATGAGCAATCAGATTACAGACCTTGATCACCTGATCTAAATGACCACTAAGATTACTGACTTTGACGGCCTTATATAAATGACCAATTAGATTACAGACCTTGATCACCTGATCTAAATGACCACTAAGATTACTGATTTTGGCGGCCTTATATAAATGACCAATTAGATAACAGACCTTGATCACCTGATATAAATGACCAATAAGATTACCAACCTTGATCACATGATCTAAATGACCACTAAGATTACTGACTTTGATAGGCCTTATATAAATGACCAATTAGATAACAGACCTTGATCACCTGATATAAATGACCAATAAGACTACTGACTTCGATCGGCCTTATATAAATAACCAATTAGATAACAGACCTTGATCACCTGATATAAATGACCAGTAAGATTACTGACTTCGATTGGCCTTATGTAAATGACCAATTAGATAACAGACCTTGATCACCCGATATAAAGGACCAATTAGATAACAGACCTTGATCACCTGATATAAATGACCAAATTACCGACCTTGACCGGCCTTCCATCTGGGGATTCATCATCGAAATCACCAGCTCCAACTTCAAATGTGCTTTTCCTGTTTCTACAATAAATTAGTTACGATTATTTACTTAGCATAAAAGGTGATTGATTACATTTTAATGTGTATTCATGGACGTCTATAAAAATAGATGGCGGGGATCAACAGTATTCGTAGCTTTATGTATTTTGGTTAGATACGAGACTTACATAACTTTAGGTTAGTCTTGGCCCAATGGATTTATTTTCGGGCGTTTACAGAGAGAAACGAGATCACAATTTGAATGGCCGTGGCATTCCTTGGGAATTCAGCTGACCCGGACTTAGGGGTCTTGAGATTATACCCGGTCAGAAAAAGCAAAAAGCAAACAAACAAACAAACAGACAAATGAATGAATGAGCCATTGTGCTGTAATGTTAAGGATATATATTATGTAAATAAGGGAGGTAATACACGGTGCATGTACCATAGGTTTGCTAATAAAATCTTAGATGAAATATAAAAGGTGCACTCTCTTATTGTATTCATTTTTTGAAAATGATCCAGTTAATGAATACGTACTTCACCGACTTTGCTTCTATGGTGATCTTCGAGCCATCTTGTGAGATAACCAGCGTTAACGGAGCGGCAGAAGCTATTTTCCGTTTCGCTATATTTACACCTATAAATCAAGAAATGAACTGTATTTAATACATGTACTGTATCTTATTATATAGTATAGGGATTACAAAAACATTGAAACACTAGGCGCCATCTATCGTGACTATTAAGAACGTTAAGAACGTCTCAATAAGAATTGTGTTACTGATTTCAAAATGATATCGCTATTTCTTCTTAATTGATTTAAAAGGGCATCACAATTCCCTTTTAATAAAAATTATATCACTGATCGTGATTTAAAAAAGGGTATCGCTATATAGATTATTTACTAATAGCCAACCTTATGTAACACTCTCTATAGCGAGTTGCTGGCAAGTCATGGTAAAGCATTTGGGAGGAACTCGAAACGAAGATACGTTCCTTTATCCTTCCAATATTTAGCAAGTATGTAGTTCCGGTTTCAAAATATGATTACAACTTAGAAATTGATAATGTAAGCCTAATTGCTGGGATATTCACAAATCAATTCCCTCAATTAGGAAACGAGGGGAAGAACGTTCCTCGTTTCATCCAGAAATGTTCCTCCCCAGTGGGATTTTCGTCATTTAAAAGTTTAAAAGTTGAAGTTTGCAATATAAGTTCGGCTGAAAACGTATACCGAAACCTCTCTAATAATAGGAAAATACATACCCTCGTTTCCTAATCGAGGGAATTGATTTGTGAATATCCCAGCAATAAAAATACCAATTTTAAGTTGTAATTATATTTTGAAACCGGAACTACATACTTGCTAAATATTGGAAGGATAAAGGAACGTATCTTCGTTTTGAGTTCCTCCCAAGTGCTTTACCATGACTTGCCCGCGACTCGCTGTAGAGGGTGTTACATAAGCTTCCCGGTCAACTCAACCCCAAGTCAACTCAACCCAAGTCAAGTCAACCCTTAGTCAACTCGACCCCAAGTCAAGTCAACCCTTAGTCACGTTTACGTATTTCTCTATTCACAGGCGCTTTATTTGCGATTCAGTTTTAGGGTAGTTAAGCGAAAGTCAAACCGAGACAGTTGTTCCCGGGAATCTTACGCCAGTTTTATTTGTGATGCTGATGGTAATTATAGTAATTAAATAGCAAAAATATCACCTTGCTGTATTACTACGAAATGTCTACAATTTATCAATAATAGCGCATGCACATGACTTACCCACAGCTGACAGGAATGCATCCAAGTTGTCACTTTTCCCAACCTTCCAGTTTCCACTAAGATCAATCGGTGCAGCCATCTTAGACTTAAATGATTTGTAAAGTCGTTATGATTACGCTTGTAGTGTTTTGCGGCTTAAATAGTCGTATAATTGTTGTATGATTCAACGTATAAACGGCAAACATGACGTTGCTTTGCACCAATGAATGCGGTCAACAAGTATTGCCAACAATTCTCTTCATAGTCCCAGATTTTGACCTATATTAGTTTAATATCGTTACATATCAAATGGGTAAAAACCCTATCGGCTTTGAATGGTACATTTTAACACATTGGATATTCAGATATTTGTACAACTTAACGGATGTGTTGGTTGTTCCAGTTTCTGACCCCAAAGTGTGTTCGCATATATTGACATCCTATATATTGACATCAAATAGGAATAGATCAATACTTTGATAACCTGTGAGTTTCGAAACTACACAAAGAACTTGTTACACATTTAAATATTAGATGTAGTGGGTGTGTGCTTATTCATTGCAGGTCGAGAGGATTGGTATAGCACATTGCCCAAATATTAAAAAGTAAAAAAACTGATAACCCTTCACTCGTTTTTCAATCTCATCCCTATTTTCTATTTCAGGATAACCCTTCGGTTTTCAAGGTTATCTGGTGAAATTAAAATCGGGATGTCCCCTTTTCAGTTCTGCATCTTAAAACTTCAGTCACTTTCGATAATTCAGATATATCTCAATTCATTTAAAAAAATGATTTAAGGTTTGTAAGAAATACAAAGAATTTTTTTGTATAGATTACGTCCAACACGTGTATCCGTTCTACCTAATCTCAAGGGTAACGTAAAGCTTCCCGTATAAAAACAATAGGGGGGGGGGGGGTGGAAAGTCTCTACTTTATCAGACTATTTCAAGAAATTAGAGGAGTTCATTAAAATTGTAGATAAAACAATCCGTCGAAATATTTACATTTCGTAGACATTGAGAGGGTGAAATATCGTTTCCTGGTCATCTCAACCCCAAGTCAATTCAACCCAGTAAAACTCAACCCCAGTAAAACTCAACCCCAAGTCAACTCAACCCTGTAAAACTTAACCCCAGTAAAACTCAACCCCTACTCAGTGTATATTTCTTTATTGAAAAACTTATATTCCACTGGCACATGCTATGAAAGCTTATTTCATAAAAAAGTTTTAATAAATTCTGAGTCAGTTTGTGATTTTCATTCTTAGACCTGCTAATACATAAATTGTTTTGTTGTAATCCCTCTGAGGTTGACACTCGTGATTATTTGGAAAACTGGAACACGAGCATTGCTTCCAGTCCATCTATTAGTAAATAATGCATGTACATATACATAACTTATGACTAATCTCTGAGCTAACTATTTTTGAATATTTTGACAACTTTCTAATCAAAGTATCATTCAAAATGCTAGATTCTCAAAAATTCTAAAATTAAATTAGACATCGTAGAAATGAATAGGGTTGGGTTTTACTGGGGTTGACTTGACTTGGGGTTGAGATGACCTGTGACCGAAATATCTAATGAATGCACGAGCCAATATAAATAGTTTTATATTTTGTTTTATTGTGTCAAACTAAAAAAATTCACTTTATAACGTGTGTTGATTTATACCACACTATTGCTAGATAAACAGACCGACGTCTTCATGTGTTGATTGAGTATTTTCCGGGATCGCACCTTTCATACTACTGTACCTTTTGCTTTATACTGAAATGTTGAGCAACACTAACTACGAATGTTCAATTTGCTAAACGTTATGCGTTACCTATGTAAAATGCACATTTTATCCTCAGCCGTGTTACCAGCTGGGAAAGCATTAGTGCTCCAGTTTATCAATGAATACAACCGACAATTCCACTTTTTGACACCACTACGCTGTGTTGACAGTAAGAGCTATAAAACTAGACCTGTATTTGCCGTGTTTGTCAACATTAGTGCACTACTACGTACACTCCCCTCCATAAGTTTGGCAACCTTTTTTCCCCCATTGAACTACGTGTTAAAGCCTCTTTACGTTTGAATTTTTATTTACTTAACCTGCGATGAAAATACTTATACTATTGATGGAAACGTAATTTCACTTTAATTCCAATACCTCCAAATTTTCTCAATTTTTTTCCTCAATTACAATAGGTCGAAAATTGATGATGAATTTGATGAATTTTTGAAAATCGACATTCCCATGTTAACCAATGGGAAATGGTAGGTTTGCCGCAAGTCATATGACAGAATATCCATCCATCCGAGTCCTTGCAAAAAATACGAGTTAGGCAGGTAATTGAATTTGCTAACTTTATTTAACAAAAAATTGATATGTTTCTTCAGGTTCAACAAAGTTATAGGGCTTTAAAGTCAAAATTGTTTGTCAAAAAACCTCTCCCATTGAAATAACACAGGAGGCGAAAAATTATTTTCAAAAATGACTTTGAAGCGCTGTAACTTTAATATTCATCAAATAAACTAAACACTTAGTGTTCAAAAAAGTTAGATAATTCAATTTTCTATATGAAAATATTTTTTGCTGAATCTTTTACTGAAAAGATATCCTGATTTCTGATTTGCCCCGAACCCTCCATTTCCCATTGGATTACATGGGAATGACGATTTTCAAAAACTAATCAAATTTATCATCAATTTTCGACCTATTGTAATTGAGGAAAAAAATGAGAAAATTTGGAGGTATTGGAAATAAAGTCAAGTTACGTTTCCATCAATATCATAAGTTATTTCAACGCCGGTTAAGTAAATAAAAATTCAAACGTAAAGAGGCTTTAACACGTAGTTCAATGGAGAAAAAATGTTGCCAAACTTATGGAGGGGAGTGTATCATGCGTTAGTATAGTACAGACTTAATAGAAGACGTGTCTACTTTTTGACCGACCTGTTCCTATTAAAAATAAATGAAAAATTAGTACCGTGGGTACTGGGCTCACATAATTTTTTGCAGATTTTTTGTGACAAAATTATTTCATACAACTACTCTTTACAAAGACATGACTTTTTACAATGCAGGACACCTGAACTTATTTGTAAAGCTAGGAAATGGGCCAAAAGTGAATTTCCAGGGACAAAAATGGTGGCCATTTTGAAAATAGGCGAGATTTTGAAGCAGGAGTCACAGTTTTTTTTTTCTTTATTGATGTTGAACAAAAATATTTTAAATCGGGAATCCTATCTACAGAGGATTTAAAAAGAGCCAAGTGTTGACAGACAGAGGTTTTAAAACTTGCCACTATTTTGGGCAGACTGAGAGACAGATGGATAAATCAATTATAACTAAAATGGCTGAAAATAAAAAAATAAAAAAAACGGATATAATATTTTGCCGATTTTTTTAACAAAATTATTTCATACAACTACTCTTTACAGTGACATGGCTTTTTACAATGCAGGACAGCTGAAATTATTTGTAAAGCTAGGAAATGGGCCAAAAGTGAATTTCGCGAGACAAGAATGGCGACCATTTTGAAAATAAGTGAGCTTTTGAACCAAGAGTCACAGGAGAGTTTTTTGTATTGATGTTGAACAAAATTAACTTAAAACAGGAATCCTATCGACAGAGGGTTTAAGGCAAATGGTCCAAAAGTGGATTTTGCGAGACAGATGGACAAATCAATGTTAACTAAAATGGCTGAAAATAAAAAAACGGATATAATTTTTTGCTGATTTTTCGTAACAAAATTATTTCATACATCTACTCTTTAAATTGACATGGATTTTTACAATGTAGGACACTTGAAATTATTTGTAAAGCTAGGGAATAGGTCAAAAGTGAATTTCGCGAGACAAAAATGGCGGCCATTTTGAAAATAGGCGAGCTTTTGAACCAGGAGTCATAGGGGAGTTTTCTGTATTGATGTTGAACAGAAATAACTTAAAACAGGAATCCTATCGACAGAGGTTTTAAAACGTGCCACTGTTGTTGACGGAAAAGTGGATTTCGCGAGTCAGATGGACAAATCAATGTTAACTAAAATGGCTGAAAATAAAAAAATGGATATAATTTTTCGCTGATTTTTTGTAACAAAATTGTTTCATATATCTACTCTTTACATTGACATGGAGATTTACAATGTAGGACACCTGAAATTATTTGTAAAGCTAGGAAATGGGTCAAAAGTGAATTTCGCGAGACAAAAATGGCAGCCATTTTGAAAATAGGTGAGCTTTTGAACCAGGAGTCATAGGGGAGTTTTCTGTATTGATGTTGAACAGAAAAAACTTAAAACAGGAATCCTATCGACAGAGATTTTAAAACGTGCCACTATTGTTGACGGACAGACAGACGGACGGACGGACGGACAGACAGACGGACAAGTGAGCGATTGCAAAAGCTCACCATGTGAGCTAAAAAGGTCAGCTGATAGACCCCGTGTTATAAAATCACAAAAGTGAAATATCTTTTCTAGTTTTGGACAGGTAAAATTTTATTTTTCTGGACATAGTTTAATTTGCATAACTATTGGATACATAAGGGTGAAAATCAATGAAAGTTGAACCATTGAACTATTAACTATATGCGCCATGCTATCTGACCCGAACGAGCGAAGATCTGATCAAACGAGACGTAATGAGAATTTAAAGTTGTACTAAAACCAATTGAAGAATCTCTTATTATCTTGTTTTTAGCACAAATAGCATCCCTTTTGTTACGTTGACTGCAAAGCTTGTGATATTGCCCCATACAACACGATTTATTAAGATAAGACTGCCAACCTCTGAAATGTTGTTATTTTTGCGCACTTTTTGAGGTCACCTGACAATGACGTGCCGTTATTCTGGCGCTAAATCGAAAAGTTGTTATTGCAAACTACTACATTTAATTTCACAAAAAGAAATTCTTGAGGAAAGAGGACTGCAATATTATTCATTACAAATACAAAGAATTGATTGAAAATTCATTTGTGAAACCTTATGAAATGTTAACCCAATGATTATATTTTGGCCTTACAACATTACATTCGGGCTAAATAGTTTAATTCCCAACCACTGGCAATGTTGCTGTTATATAACTTACATGCTTTCAATAGCGTTTCAGCTCGATTGATTTCGCACTCAATTGCAAGTGATATTATACCCTTTGCAAAATTGATGAGAATAGCCTCAATCATGCAATAATTGGCTCAACATTAGAGCGAATAACTCGTCTTTGAAAGCCAGGGTTTCATTTTTATCTAAGAAATCATATTTCGTGGCAAATTGTTTCAACCACACACGTCATGTCACGTGCCGTAAATTTTCTGTTCTGAAAATGAAATCGGGTTTGCCTCGAAAACAGACACGTGCTGACTTTTTATCGCCGATATCATGAAAAAATAAACTTTTAGAATTGTTGATGGTTCACCATCGTAAAGTGTGGTCTTTATACGGTTGGAATTCATAAGATTTGAAACGTCCACATGCCAGGAGATGGCCTACTTCAACACAATATACACCAGCGTTGATTTCAACAGAAGAGAATTTGACTATTTTGGATAATACAACGCTTTATTTTATTCTGCTTGTTAAGTTTCTGCATAACAAATGTCAACTAACATAATAACAGTTTTTCTGTGATTATCAAAGATTGAAAAATCACTCATGTAAACAGTGGATTAATTGCTTTTAAAAGGGAGTTTTGAAACTTGCTATGCTGCTTGTTGATAAGTAATTTGTAAAGCCATGATTCCCATTAAAATGGAAATAGTGCCTTTAAAATGGAAATATGGGATCGATTGCCTTTAAATGGAAATTGGAATTTTGTTTGCTGCTTGACAGCTTAAAGCTTTGATATCATCAGAAAAATAGTTTGTTTGAACATGGGTCTTTTTCATTAGCAGCAGATAACAGGCGATTTTCACCTGTTGTTTTCACAATCGGCATTTGTTTTTAGGGACTTTTCAACGTTTCCATTTCCATTGATTCTGCCTGTTGTTTTCATTTATTTAGCCTGCTGTGAGAAATTCTAGTGAAACCCCGAAGAGGCTCTAAAGTAATTGTACAATAACTGTAACTGTACAATAGTATTGCCCTTCAATATCATTTAACTGTACAATATTGTAATATGTTCAGACTACAACGTTTTTTTCTGTCAAAACATAAGAGTTTTGGTGAAGTAAAAAAATCTGTAAATTCTATAAGTTTCTCTCATGAGACAAACACTGCATTTAAAACCATCAATTTCGATGTGTACTTCCATCTGTGTGTTTTCAACTGTACATTTCATTAATTTGTTCTTGATAATAAGATTGTATTTGTTTGCGTTTTAATTTCAAAGCGTCTGTTACAAGTCCAGTCTCTGGCAGCCATACCAATTCACACACCTTGACTCTCTGGGGGATTTCAAACCTTTCTAGTTTAGCTGGAAAATAAAAAAATGTCCATATTAGAGGAGGGGGTAACTGTGATACTCGGGGTTTTCACATAGAAATACCTTTGGAATGAGGCTTTCAAATTATAAAGAGGGTGTTTACATAATTGGTTTTCCAGTAGTAAAAAGTCCATTATGATGCATGCCTTCACACTACATGATGGGGAATTTGGTTGGCCCACATGTTCAACGATTGGAGAATTAAATATGTCACTGAATTTATAGAACAAACACTTACATTTTTTGCCTTGCACTTGTATTTCTTTTAGATACTCTTTCACAATCTCAGGTTTTTCACAGAGCTCCTCCCACGACTGGTGTTCAATACCAAGTTTGGTGCCTAGGTCTGATAACTGAAATACAAAGGAATACAGAATGTTTCTAAAGACCCATACCAAGTTTAGTGGTGAGGTACGTGATTAGATGCCCACCATCTGCCAACCAAAAGTGTTTTGTTACATGTAATTTAAAGTAAAAGTGGATCTTAAACAAAATAGAAGTAATAAAACAAAGTGACTAATAAGATGCAAAGTATCTTTTTTGGTTGAGGAGGTCTTTATATTATGTTTATCAATGATTAACATATAACTACATGTATATAAGGAGTGAAAGTTTACCTGTTTCTGATTAGGTTTAACATATAAACAGGGGTTACTAGAGTATCCGCGTATATTGAGTATGACCGGTTCTAAGCTTACGAGTGTGACGTATTTTTGTTCCTATAAACAGACGAGGTGAGTACTTGCTTTTTATGAACACTTTCGAACTTTTTCTTTTTATCCTACTTGGTCAATGAATGATACTTGGTATACCTATGATGCCAGGCATATCACAAGGGGCATTAATCAAGAGAAAACGTATTAATATTAGATTGAAGCCGTAAAATCCTAGTTTCCAGCATCTTTGATCAGTTTTTGTGTAACACAACGCAACTCCGAAGAGGATGACACATCTAATGTACAATGTATAGCTAGATCTACGAATTAGTCATGAATATTTTAAATAATTTAGCCTGCTCTGTCCAAATATGATACATCTTTGAATTTTTGAGAATACGAATGTCACTGGTGCCCCATTATTGGAGAAAACGGTTGTGAAATGTCAGTGGGCCGTGTTACACTCGTTTCCATGACATTTCACAAGCGTATCATCTGGGAAAAGATAAATCCTTCTCTTGCTCACTCTACGGGGGATCATATAAACTGAGATTTGGAGATCTTGTTCAGGTTAGCCATAAAAAGGTTTGGGATTTGTTTTTTTCTACTGTGATATTAATGATTTGGCTCTAAGGCGAGAAATCTGTACTTTCTGATTGATATTCCATTATGAACAGTTACATTGCTAAAATACTAGTAGCTCATGTTTAACATTTTTTTGTTACATTACTATTAAATACAGCATAAACTATATTCAACAAACACAATTTCAAAAAGGATAATATAGAAGTTAACCTTTATTTTCCATTTTTAAGCAGCTGTGCCTCTCATGACTTTCCAAAACAGGTTATATTCGTAGCCTAAGAACCGGTCATACTCCATATACACGGAAACTCTAGTAGTCCGTGTATAAATATATAAGGTGAATGTTTACCTGTTTCTGATTGGGTATAACAAGACAGATAGCATACATGGCTGAGCTATCAGCATACACACAACAATTGTCAATGAGTGGACACATTTTCAAAGCAGTCTCAACCTTTGATAGTGACACATATTCACCAGCTTGAAGTTTCACTAAATCCTTCTTACGATCTGGAAATATAATGTTGCATGATGGGTAAAAGAGCAGTCTGAATCTTTGATAGGAACTCAAATTGCTTTTAAGTTAGCAAATATTATAATTTTGCATTCTGAGAAATACTCAATGTTCACATGTATAGTTGTACATATACAAGTATAAAGAATGTACTATTTTATTACTGCTATCTCTATTCTATTTACAATCTAATTAATGTAGTTGTCGTCATACTCCTTGTTCATAAGTATTCTTAACACATTTTTACAGGTACAACTGTACACATTCATGAATTCCTTTAATTGAAAATTGTGAAAAATTGAAAGTTTATTATCCAATAATTGATAGAAATGAAATTTGGATGAGGTTGAAACATCTTTCAACAGGCTTTCATTTATTCCAACTGCTGATCAAATATCCCATTCTCTTCTTACCGACAATTCTGAGCACGCCATCTGTTTGAAACTCTCCAATATCACCAGTAGAGAACCACCTCTGGCCATTCACAACGCTGAAATCCTCAGCAGTCTTTGATGGGTTCTTGTAATACCCAAGCGTCACATTTCCCCCTCCCACCATCACCTCTCCCCTCGGGAAAGGCTTATCTGTGTTCCGATAGTTGCCTAGATACATAATATATTTATAAATATGACTTACATAATACAAATGTCATTCAGTTTTTCTTAATTCTTTTAAAATGTAAATTTCTTTTAATACAAATGAGAATTCTGGGTAAAACATACCTTCTTCCCAGTCAATCAGCTTGAACTCACAGCAGGTCAAAGGAGCCCCAACTCTCCCAGTTGTTAAATCAGTAGCTGCAAATATATTGATATGTCAATGATTGGTAGAGACAGGTCAAAGGAGCCCCAACTCTCCCAGTTGTTAAATCAGTAGCTGCAAATATATTGATATGTCAATGATTGATAGAGACAGGTCAAAGGAGCCCCAACTCTCCCAGTTGTTAAATCAGTAGCTGCAAATATATTGACATGTCAATGATTGGTAGAGACAGGTCAAAGGAGCCCCAACTCTCCCAGTTGTTAAATCAGTAGCTGCAAATATATTGACTATGTCAATGATTGGTAGAGACAGGTCAAAGGAGCCCCAACTCTCCCAGTTGTTAAATCAGTAGCTGCAAATATATTGATATGTCAATGATTGGTAGAGACAGGTCAAAGGAGCCCCAACTCTCCCAGTTGTTAAATCAGTAGCTGCAAATATATTGATATGTCAATGATTGATAGAGACAGGTCAAAGGAGCCCCAACTCTCCCAGTTGTTAAATCAGTAGCTGCAAATATATTGACATGTCAATGATTGGTAGAGACAGGTCAAAGGAGCCCCAACTCTCCCAGTTGTTAAATCAGTAGCTGCAAATATATTGACTATGTCAATGATTGGTAGAGACAGGTCAAAGGAGCCCCAACTCTCCCAGTTGTTAAATCAGTAGCTGCAAATATATTGACATGTCAATGATTGGTAGAGACAGGTCAAAGGAGCCCCAACTCTCCCAGTTGTTAAATCAGTAGCTGCAAATATATTGACTATGTCAATGATTGATAGAGACAGGTCAAAGGAGCCCCAACTCTCCCAGTTGTTAAATCAGTAGCTGCAAATATATTGACTATGTCAATGATTGGTAGAGACAGGTCAAAGGAGCCCCAACTCTCCCAGTTGTTAAATCAGTAGCTGCAAATATATTGACTATGTCAATGATTGGTAGAGACAGGTCAAAGGAGCCCCAACTCTCCCAGTTGTTTAATCAGTAGCTGGAAATATATTGAATATGTCAATGATTGGTAGAGACAGGTCAAAGGAGCCCCAACTCTCCCAGTTGTTAAATCAGTAGCCGCAAATATATTGATATGTGAATGATTGGTAGAGACAGGTCAAAGGAGCCCCAACTCTCCCAGTTGTTAAATCAGTAGCTGCAAATATATTGATATGTCAATGATTGGTAGAGACAGGTCAAAGGAGCCCCAACTCTCCCAGTTGTTAAATCAGTAGCTGCAAATATATTGACTATGTCAATGATTGGTAGAGACAGGTCAAAGGAGCCCCAACTCTCCCAGTTGGTAAATCAGTAGCTGCAAATATATTGAATATGTCAATGATTGGTAGAGACAGGTCAAAGGAGCCCCAACTCTCCCAGTTGTTAAATCAGTAGCTACAAATATATTGATATGTCAATGATTGGTAGAGACAGGTCAAAGGAGCCCCAACTCTCCCAGTTGTTAAATCAGTAGCTGCAAATATATTGACTATGTCAATGATTGGTAGAGACAGGTCAAAGGAGCCCCAACTCTCCCAGTTGGTAAATCAGTAGCTGCAAATATATTGAATATGTCAATGATTGGTAGAGACAGGTCAAAGGAGCCCCAACTCTCCCAGTTGTTAAATCAGTAGCTGCAAATATATTGAATATGTCAATGATTGGTAGAGACAGGTCAAAGGAGCCCCAACTCTCCCAGTTGTTAAATTAGTAGCTGCAAATATTGATATGTCAATGATTGGTAGAGACAGGTCAAAGGAGCCCCAACTCTCCCAGTTGTTAAATCAGTAGCTGCAAATATATTGACATGTCAATGATTGGTAGAGACAGGTCAAAGGAGCCCCAACTCTCCCAGTTGTTAAATCAGTAGCTGCAAATATATTGACTATGTCAATGATTGGTAGAGACAGGTCAAAGGAGCCCCAACTCTCCCAGTTGTTAAATCAGTAGCTGCAAATATATTGACATGTCAATGATTGGTAGAGACAGGTCAAAGGAGCCCCAACTCTCCCAGTTGTTAAATCAGTAGCTGCAAATATATTGACTATGTCAATGATTGGTAGAGACAGGTCAAAGGAGCCCCAACTCTCCCAGTTGTTAAATCAGTAGCTGCAAATATATTGACATGTCAATGATTGGTAGAGACAGGTCAAAGGAGCCCCAACTCTCCCAGTTGTTAAATCAGTAGCTGCAAATATATTGACTATGTCAATGATTGATAGAGACAGGTCAAAGGAGCCCCAACTCTCCCAGTTGTTAAATCAGTAGCTGCAAATATATTGACATGTCAATGATTGGTAGAGACAGGTCAAAGGAGCCCCAACTCTCCCAGTTGTTAAATCAGTAGCTGCAAATATATTGACTATGTCAATGATTGATAGAGACAGGTCAAAGGAGCCCCAACTCTCCCAGTTGTTAAATCAGTAGCTGCAAATATATTGACTATGTCAATGATTGGTAGAGACAGGTCAAAGGAGCCCCAAATCTCCCAGTTGTTAAATCAGTAGCTGCAAATATATTGATATGTCAATGATTGGTAGAGACAGGTCAAAGGAGCCCCAACTCTCCCAGTTGTTAAATCAGTAGCTGCAAATATATTGATATGTCAATGATTGGTAGAGACAGGTCAAAGGAGCCCCAACTCTCCCAGTTGTTAAATCAGTAGCTGCAAATATATTGATATGTGAATGATTGGTAGAGACAGGTCAAAGGAGCCCCAACTCTCCCAGTTGTTAAATCAGTAGCTGCAAATATATTGATATGTCAATGATTGGTAGAGACAGGTCAAAGGAGCCCCAACTCTCCCAGTTGTTAAATCAGTAGCTGCAAATATATTGATATGTCAATGATTGGTAGAGACAGGTCAAAGGAGCCCCAACTCTCCCAGTTGTTAAATCAGTAGCTGCAAATATATTGACTATGTCAATGATTGGTAGAGACAGGTCAAAGGAGCCCCAACTCTCCCAGTTGTTAAATCAGTAGCTGCAAATATATTGACTATGTCAATGATTGGTAGAGACAGGTCAAAGGAGCCCCAACTCTCCCAGTTGTTAAATCAGTAGCTGCAAATATATTGACATGTCAATGATTGGTAGAGACAGGTCAAAGGAGCCCCAACTCTCCCAGTTGTTAAATCAGTAGCTGCAAATATATTGATATGTCAATGATTGGTAGAGACAGGTCAAAGGAGCCCCAACTCTCCCAGTTGTTAAATCAGTAGCTGCAAATATATTGAATATGTCAATGATTGGTAGAGACAGGTCAAAGGAGCCCCAACTCTCCCAGTTGTTAAATCAGTAGCTGCAAATATATTGACTATGTCAATGATTGATAGAGACAGGTCAAAGGAGCCCCAACTCTCCCAGTTGTTAAATCAGTAGCTGCAAATATATTGATATGTCAATGATTGGTAGAGACAGGTCAAAGGAGCCCCAACTCTCCCAGTTGTTAAATCAGTAGCTGCAAATATATTGAATATGTCAATGATTGGTAGAGACAGGTCAAAGGAGCCCCAACTCTCCCAGTTGTTAAATCAGTAGCTGCAAATATATTGACATGTCAATGATTGGTAGAGACAGGTCAAAGGAGCCCCAACTCTCCCAGTTGTTAAATCAGTAGCTGCAAATATATTGACTATGTCAATGATTGATAGAGACAGGTCAAAGGAGCCCCAACTCTCCCAGTTGTTAAATCAGTAGCTGCAAATATATTGACTATGTCAATGATTGGTAGAGACAGGTCAAAGGAGCCCCAACTCTCCCAGTTGTTAAATCAGTAGCTGCAAATATATTGAATATGTCAATGATTGGTAGAGACAGGTCAAAGGAGCCCCAACTCTCCCAGTTGTTAAATCAGTAGCTGCAAATATATTGACTATGTCAATGATTGGTAGAGACAGGTCAAAGAACCCCCAACTCTCCCAGTTGTTAAATCAGTAGCTGCAAATATATTGATATGTCAATGATTGGTAGAGACGGGTCAAAGGAGCCCCAACTCTCCCAGTTGTTAAATCAGTAGCTGCAAATATATTGATATGTCAATGATTGGTAGAGACAGGTCAAAGGAGCCCCAACTCTCCCAGTTGTTAAATCAGTAGCTGCAAATATATTGATATGTGAATGATTGGTAGAGACAGGTCAAAGGAGCCCCAACTCTCCCAGTTGTTAAATCAGTAGCTGCAAATATATTGACTATGTCAATGATTGGTAGAGACAGGTCAAAGGAGCCCCAACTCTCCCAGTTGTTAAATCAGTAGCTGCAAATATATTGACTATGTCAATGATTGATAGAGACAGGTCAAAGGAGCCCCAACTCTCCCAGTTGTTAAATCAGTAGCTGCAAATATATTGACTATGTCAATGATTGGTAGAGACAGGTCAAAGGAGCCCCAACTCTCCCAGTTGTTAAATCAGTAGCTGCAAATATATTGATATGTCAATGATTGGTAGAGACAGGTCAAAGGAGCCCCAACTCTCCCAGTTGTTAAATCAGTAGCTGCAAATATATTGAATATGTCAATGATTGGTAGAGACAGGTCAAAGGAGCCCCAACTCTCCCAGTTGTTAAATCAGTAGCTGCAAATATATTGACTATGTCAATGATTGATAGAGACAGGTCAAAGGAGCCCCAACTCTCCCAGTTGTTAAATCAGTAGCTACAAACATATTGATATGTCAATGATTGGTAGAGACAGGTCAAAGGAGCCCCAACTCTCCCAGTTGTTAAATCAGTAGCTACAAACATATTGACTATGTCAATGATTGGTAGAGACAGGTCAAAGGAGCCCCAACTCTCCCAGTTGTTAAATCAGTAGCTACAAACATATTGATATGTCAATGATTGGTAGAGACAGGTCAAAGGAGCCCCAACTCTCCCAGTTGTTAAATCAGTAGCTACAAACATATTGACTATGTCAATGATTGGTAGAGACAGGTCAAAGGAGCCCCAACTCTCCCAGTTGTTAAATCAGTAGCTGCAAATATATTGACTATGTCAATGATTGGTAGAGACAGGTCAAAGGAGCCCCAACTCTCCCAGTTGTTAAATCAGTAGCTGCAAATATATTGACTATGTCAATGATTGATAGAGACAGGTCAAAGGAGCCCCAACTCTCCCAGTTGTTAAATCAGTAGCTGCAAATATATTGAATATGTCAATGATTGGTAGAGACAGTATTCTTATATCAAAGTAATTTATTACATGTCATTTGAAGAATGTAATCCTGTTTTCTTTACTTTATTGCTATTTTTACTGTTAATAAAAATTGTATGTTGGACGTACGTTTGGCCCTAAAAGGGCATCAGAACAAACAAATCCTATTATATTTAGAGGTTATGTCACTATGACGTGAAATATGCCTGAGTTCTCCCAATATAGGCCGACCTTGGGAGGCTCTATATTTGGGCAAGAACGAAGGCATATTTCACGTCATAGTGACATAACTGATGTATTACATGCCTTTGTTCCCATGGTTACTTTGTATCAATGACGTGACGTCATGATATTATCATGGTTATTAAAGAAATCTAATATCAAAACGAGGTAAGCGGGCTATATCGGGGTAATCGGGCAATATCGGTGGATATAGCTCGCTTACTTTCCCATTGACTTCCATACAAATGCTTCGCTAGGTATGTAATACATATATATATAAGTATATGATTCATGAGTTTTTTATGTGTTGTATTTCTAAGGAGTTGATTCTAAGCATGCAAAAGTAATTATACACTGGAACAGAACAAAACACAAATAGCCTACATGTATATTAAAAAGACTCTAAACTTTTAAAGGCCAAAAATTAAAGCCTTTCCCTTACTTCTTCCCTTCTTTTAATTTCTTATTTTCTGCCTCAATTTAAAATTAAGTACATACCATCTGATATAGTTCCAGCACCACATGTCTCTGTCAAGCCATATCCCTGCCCAGTGTTCCCCACATGTCTCTGTCAAGCCATATCCCTGCCCAGTGTTCCCCACATGTCTCTGTCGAGCCATATCCCTGCCCAGTGTTCACTTCAAGAGTAAGTACATACCATCTGATATAGTTCCAGTCCCACATGTCTCTTTCAAGCCATATCCCTGCCCAGTGTTCCCAACATGTCTCTGTCAAGCCATATCCACGATGCCCATGTCAAACAGCGTGCCTACTAGGCACGCAGTTTGAAACTCTGACAAACTGCGCGCATATTTCAAAATGTGAGACGGGGAGGACACGACTCCCAAAAAGAGCCAAAATACGAAAAATACAAGGTTAGTCTCGTTCTAAAGATAGTACCATTCTGTGAAGATGAACTTAATTTACTCATAGTACTCAATGTTATTCCCGATGTAAACCTAGTTATCTCAATATAAGGGTCTTAAGTAACTTCTGTGTTCAAAATTTACAGTGTAAAGTTATATCTATGTATTTTTATCGTCATTTGCCGTTTATTCAGCCATTGTGTCTGTGTATGCTAGAATATAGAGGATCACTCCATCTGATTAAAACAGCAAATTTGTGTTCAAAACGATAATACGCCATAAACGTGATTTAAACATTTTTCTTGTCAAACTACGCGCCTATATTCACATGTATTTCCCAAACTGCGTGCCTAATATTTCAAAACTGCTTGCCTATCCAAGCTTGTTTTGTATTATTAGAAAACATAAGCGCCATACAAGGCACATATGTGTCTAATAGTAGAACCCCATAATTGAAACACTATGAGAGTCCATCCACCAAGATGGTGATCTGAAAATAAATGTTTTTTTCGTTCCCAACTTAACTGTCACTTCTATTATACATTTTGACTTTCAATATGAAAATCTCATAAAATCTGACGATTAAGCAAAATTTCCAAAGCTACATCGAAAACACCTACACGTACCTCTGTAGAAATTCCAATGATAATATGTAGTTTTAATAGTGTATGCGCACAGATTGTAATTTCTGGCTAAAATAGGCGCGCAGTTTGTGGTTAATTTCTTTTTAATCTCCTGATTATCTGTTTTATTTCGAAATATTTTGAATTAAACATGATAAATGTGTAAGGAATTAAATATAAAACGAGTCTAAAGTATTTGTCATTTATGTTTAAAGTGCTAGATCGATTTACGTATAAATTCCCATTAAATCAGTGACGAAAATGCCATTAATCTGCTTATGTTTTAAAACTAAGATTCATTTGCACACAGTTTTTGCTAGTATTTGCAAGATTCGTATATTCGCCACAGAATGAACGCATTGAACAAGAAAACAATGCAGGATAAATGTCTTTAAATAACGTTTCAAAATACAGACTCCAACTTAAATGATCCATTGTTCTTAGGCATGCAGTTTGTGATCGAAACAAACTGCATGCCTGAGTAGGCGCGCAGCTTGACATGGGCACCGTGATATCCCTGCCCAGTGTTCCCCACATGTCTCTATCGAGCCATATCCCTGCCCAGTGTTCACTTCAAGAGTAAGTACATACCATCTGATATAGTTCCAGCCCCACATGTCTCTGTCAAGCCATATCCCTGCCCAGTGTTTACTTCAAGAGTAAGTACATACCATCTGATATAGTTCCAGCCCCACATGTCTCTGTCAAGCCATATCCCTGCCCAGTGTTTACTTCAAGAGTAAGTACATACCATCTGATATAGTTCCAGCCCCACATGTCTCTGTCAAGCCATATCCCTGCCCAGTGTTTACTTCAAGAGTAAGTACATACCATCTGATATAGTTCCAGCCCCACATGTCTCTGTCAAGCCATATCCCTGCCCAGTGTTTACTTCAAGAGTAAGTACATACCATCTGATATAGTTCCAGCCCCACATGTCTCTGTCAAGCCATATCCCTGCCCAGTGTTTACTTCAAGAGTAAGTACATACCATCTGATATAGTTCCAGCACCACATGTCTCTGTCAAGCCATATCCCTGTCCAACAGGGCAACAGAATGAAATGTTCATGAAGCGCTGAGTCTCAGCAGAAAGAGGTGCTCCCCCACAAAGCATCATTCGTACATTGCCACCTAGGATTGCCTTTACCTTCTTAAAGATGAGCCTGCAAATAAAGATGGGATTGCTTTATAAATTGTGCAGTTTATCATTTCCATGGTTATAATAGTTAATGCATCAATTTCTTTAGAAGTGAAATTTATATTAATATAAATAAATATCCCAAGATACATGTACTAGCTTAAGTTCTTAGAAAACCTACTTATTAAGAATTGGAGTATCGCCACCTTTGATATATCGTTTTGCTTTATAGTTGTATGCCCAGTTAAATAGTGCCTTGGAAAACTTGCTTCCATTGTTGATTTTGTCCCATACATTCTTGTAGATACGATCCATTATCACCTAAAATAAATTTATGTCATCTGCTAAAGGTATATTGCATTATGGATCAACACATTTCTTTTATTGCAAATGGTATGGGGGACAATGTAAAGAAAAACATTTTGCAAGCTACAATTAATCATTTTGGAAAAATCCATTCACTTTATCATTTTGATCAATTTTTTGAGCATCAGTCAATCCTAAAAAAAGTAATTGAAGGACAAAGGTAGAATATTTTGCTTTAATATAGTGCTTTAATCTTTATTCATTTATTGGCTTGTTCATGTGAATGTGTAAAGGTATTATTAAGGATAGTTTTATGTGCATAAAACATGTGTGTGTAATTTAGAAAGATCCAGCAATGTTAATTGTTTTGAAACTAACATGTCCAAGTGCATCCAATTCAAGAGGCCACGCATTGTCCTACATAAAACCATAAGCAATCCGAGGTGGCCTTTTGATTATATTTTTAGGTTTGCTTGGCACACAACCTGATTAACTCTTATTGTATACTTATTAACTCTTATTGTATACTCACTGGAACAGATGCCATGAGTGTTGGTTTCAAGACGGAGACATCTCCCTTACATCCCCTCTTAATCTTAGTGGACTGGTCAGTTATTGTTAGAGGCTGTGAGTAGCCAATCCTTACACCATTTGCTAAACAGGACATCTCTGAAATAATAGAGTTGTTAGAGGCTGTGAGTAGCCAATCCTTACACCATTTGCTAAACAGGACATCTCTGAAATAATAGAGTTGTTAGAGGCTGTGAGTAGCCAATCCTTACACCATTTGCTAAACAGGACATCTCTAAAAAATAGTGTTGTTGCTTATTCAACTAGATAACGGCAACTCCGCGGAGTAGCAAATCCCAACGAACAAAATATCAATTACCGAATTCCAATCAATATCATTACTTTGGTTAAAATTGAAAAATCTAGATTTTAGAATTGCGAATTCCTGCAAAGCAGCCATTTTGAATTTTCTGAGGTACAAATCTGAAAAATAATACCATAATTGTGATCTACTCCAAAATTCCTTCAATTTGAGTATAATATAGCCATACTTTGAAGGGATCGACAAATTATTGCGAAATCGTACATTAGACGGCCATTTTGAATTTTACGAGGCTCGAATCAGAAAAAAGATACAATATTTGCAATCTACTCTTAATTGCCTTTAATTTGAGTATAATAAAGCTATACTTCAGAAAGATCTAAAAATAAGCAAAAATTTCTGTTTTCCTGACCCCCCATATACGGCCCCTGGGGGTCAGGATGAAAACACGGAATATATTTAAAATGAATAGATGTTGCAAATATACTACCAAAATTTCAAACAATAATATTTATTACTTTGGTTTAGAATGAAAAATTTATGATTTTTGCGAAAAAGTCCCATCATTTTTAAAGCGGCGGCCATCTTGAAAAAAATTTTTTTGCGCAAAACTATTCACCAATATACATCTTTCCACTAAATATGAAGAAAATCCGTCAACTAATATTTGAGTTATCTTCCGGACGGACAGACGGACGGACAGACGGACGGACAGACGGACGGATGGACGGACTGACTGACGGACGGAGGGCTTCACTATATCCCTACCGAACTTCGTTCGTTGGGATAATGATCCCTAACTAGTTACTTTGACAAAATTGAGGAACTGCCAAAGATAGAGCTTAGTAAGGTTTTCTTGTTTTCTATATTTATTAATGCATACATTGAATGTCATTTGTATTTATTCCTCTACATGAGCAAGAGGAAGGTATCCAATTTAATGTATGTATTATATCATACCTGCGCTTAATTCTAAGACATGAGCAAGAGGAAGGTATCCAATTCAATGTATGTATTATATCATACCTGCGCTTAATTCTAAGACATGAGCAAGAGGAAGGTATCCAATTTAATGTATGTATTATACCATACCTGCGCTTAATTCTAAGACATGAGCAAGAGGAAGGTATCCAATTTAATGTATGTATTATATCATATCTGCGCTTAATTCTAAGACATGAGCAAGAGGAAGGTATCCAATTTAATGTATGTATTATATCATACCTGCGCTTAATTCTAAGACATGAGCAAGAGGAAGGTATCCAATTTAATGTATGTATTATACCATACCTGCGCTTAATTCTAAGACATGAGCAAGAGGAAGGTATCCAATTTAATTTATGTATTATACCATACCTGCGCTTAATTCTAAGATATGAGCAAGAGGAAGGTATCCAATTCAATGTATGTATTATATCATACCTGCGCTTAATTCTAAGACATGAGCAAGAGGAAGGTATCCAATTTAATGTATGTTTTATATCATACCTGCGCTTAATTCTAAAACATAAGCAAGAGGAAGGTATCCCATTTAATGTATGTATTATATCCTACCTGCGCTTAATTCTAAGACATGAGCAAGAGGAAGGTATCCAATTTAATGTATGTATTATATCATACCTGCGCTTAATTCTAAGACATGAGCAAGAGGAAGGTATCCAATTTAATGTATGTATTATATCATACCTGCGCTTAATTCTAAGACATGAGCAAGAGGAAGGTATCCCATTTAATGTATGTATTATACCATACCTGCGCTTAATTCTAAGACATGAGCAAGAGGAAGGTATCCAATTTAATGTATGTATTATATCATACCTGCGCTTAATTCTAAGACATGAGCAAGAGGAAGGTATCCCATTTAATGTATGTATTATACCATACCTGCGCTTAATTCTAAGACATGAGCAAGAGGAAGGTATCCCATTTAATGTATGTATTATATCATACCTGCGCTTAATTCTAAAACATGAGGAAGAGGAAGGTATCCCATTTAATGTATGTTTTATATCATACCTGCGCTTAATTCTAAGACATGAGCAAGAGGAAGGTATCCAATTTAATGTATGTATTATATCATACCTGCGCTTAATTCTAAGACATGAGCAAGAGGAAGGTATCCAATTTAATGTATGTATTATATCATACCTGCGCTTAATTCTAAGACATGAGCAAGAGGAAGGTATCCAATTTAATGTATGTTTTATATCCTACCTGCGCTTAATTCTAAGACATGAACGGGAGGAAGGTATCCAATTCAATGTATGTATTATACCATACCTGCGCTTAATTCTAAGACATGAGCAAGAGAAAGGTATCCAATTTAATGTATGTATTATATCATACCTGCGCTTAATTCTAAGACATGAGCAAGAGGAAGGTATCCAATTTAATGTATGTATTATATCATACCTGCGCTTAATTCTAAGACATGAGCAAGAGGAAGGTATCCAATTCAATGTATGTATTATATCATACCTGCGCTTAATTCTAAGAAATGAGCAAGAGGAAGGTATCCAATTTAATGTATGTTTTATATCATACCTGCGCTTAATTCTAAAACATAAGCAAGAGGAAGGTATCCCATTTAATGTATGTATTATATCCTACCTGCGCTTAATTCTAAGACATGAGCAAGAGGAAGGTATCCAATTTAATGTATGTATTATATCATACCTGCGCTTAATTCTAAGACATGAGCAAGAGGAAGGTATCCCATTTAATGTATGTATTATATCATACCTGCGCTTAATTCTAAGACATGAGCAAGAGGAAGGTATCCAATTTAATGTATGTTCTATATCATACCTGCGCTTAATTCTAAGACATGAGAAAGAGGAAGGTATCCAATTTAATGTATGTTTTATATCATACCTGCGCTTAATTCTAAGACATGAGCAAGAGGAAGGTATCCAATTAAATGTATGTATTATATCATACCTGCGCTTAATTCTAAGACATGAGCAAGAGGAAGGTATCCAATTTAATGTATGTATTATACTATACCTGCGCTTAATTCTAAGACATGAGCAAGAGGAAGGTATCCAATTTTATGTATGTATTATACCTTACCTGCGCTTAATTCTAAGTCATGAGCAAGAGGAAGGTATCCAATTTAATGTATGTATTATACCATACCTGCGCTTAATTCTAAGACATGAGCAAGAGGAAGGTATCCAATTCAATGTATGTATTATATCATACCTGCGCTTAATTCTAAGACATGAGCAAGAGGAAGGTATCCAATTAAATGTACGTATTATATCATACCTGCGCTTAATTCTAAGACATGAGCAAGAGGAAGGTATCCAATTTAATGTATGTATTATATCATACCTGCGCTTAATTCTAAGACATGAGCAAGAGGAAGGTATCCAATTTAATGTATGTTTTATATAATACCTGCGCTTAATTCTAAGACATGAGCAAGAGGAAGGTATCCAATTTAATGTATGTATTATATCATACCTGCGCTTAATTCTAAGACATGAGCAAGAGGAAGGTATCCAATTTAATGTATGTATTATAACATACCTGCGCTAAATTCTAAGACATGAGCAAGAGGAAGGTATCCAATTTAATGTATGTATTATATCATACCTGCGCTTAATTCTAAGACATGAGCAAGAGGAAGGTATCCAATTTAATGTATGTATTATATCATACCTGCGCTTAATTCTAAGACATGAGCAAGAGGAAGGTATCCCATTTAATGTATGTTTTATACCATACCTGCGCTTAATTCTAAGACATGAGCAAGAGGAAGGTATCCAATTTAATGTATGTATTATACCATACCTGCGCTTAATTCTAAGACATGAGCAAGAGGAAGGTATCCAATTTAATGTATGTATTATATCATACCTGCGCTTAATTCTAAGACATGAGCAAGAGGAAGGTATCCAATTTAATGTACATATTATATCATACCTGCGCTTAATTCTAAGACATGAGCAAGAGGAAGGTATCCAATTTAATGTATTATTTATCATACCTGCACTTAATTCTAAGACATGAGCAAGAGGAAGGTATCCAATTTAATGTATGTATTATATCATACCTGCGCTTAATTCTAAGACATGAGCAAGAGGAAGGTATCCAATTTAATGTATGTATTATACCATACCTGCGCTTAATTCTAAGACATGAGCAAGAGGAAGGTATCCAATTTAATGTATGTATTATACCATACCTGCGCTTAATTCTAAGACATGAGCAAGAGGAAGGTATCCAATTCAATGTATGTTTTATATCATACCTGCGCTTAATTCTAAGACATGAGCAAGAGGAAGGTATCCAATTTAATGTATGTATTATACCATACCTGCGCTTAATTCTAAGACATGAGCAAGAGGAAGGTATCCAATTCAATGTATGTTTTATATCATACCTGCGCTTAATTCTAAGACATGAGCAAGAGGAAGGTATCCAATTTAATGTATGTATTATACCATACCTGCGCTTAATTCTAAGACATGAGCAAGAGGAAGGTATCCAATTTAATGTATGTATTAGACCATACCTGCGCTTAATTCTAAGACATGAGCAAGAGGAAGGTATCCAATTTAATGTATGTTTTATATCATACCTGCGCTTAATTCTAAGACATGAGCAAGAGGAAGGTATCCAATTTAATGTATGTTTGATACCATACCTGCGCTTAATTCTAAGTCATGAGCAAGAGGAAGGTATCCAATTTAATGTATGTATTATATCATACCTGCGCTTAATTCTAAGACATGAGCAAGAGGAAGGTATCCAATTTAATGTATGTTTTATATCATACCTGCACTTAATTCTAAGACATGAGCAAGAGGAAGGTATCCAATTTAATGTA